CGCAATCATTCAGGACATGCGGTATGCAACATACGGTAAGGAAGACCCGCGCGGTCTTCCTTACCGTATACCACCTAAAACACGGATACGCGGAAAATTCCGTGTTTGGCGCAGATGCGTTTTTTCATTAAACACGGAAAATTCTGTGTTTGGCGGGGAAAGAGTTAAAGGGATAGTTCACAAAAAAAAAAAAAAAAAAAAAAAAAAAAAAAATCCGTCATTATTTACTCACTCTAATGTTGTTCCAAACCTGTATTAATTTCTTTCTTGTGCTGAACACAAAAAACAATTTTTTTTTTTTTTAATGTGGGTAACCAAACAGTTGCTGGTCCCTATTAACTTCCAGGAGAGAACCTATAAAAAAAACTATAAGGGGACCAGCAACTGTTCGGTTACCCACATTATTCAAAATAACTTTTATTTTCAACAGAAGAAAGAAACTTATTCAGGTTTAAAACATCTTGAGAGAGTAAATTAAGACAATTTTCATTTTTGAGGGAATTATCCCTTTAGTGTTAATAAAACAAAAAAAAAAAACACAAGGAGAAAATCACTCACTGACTGAGAACTTTAATAGTAGCTTTAATAAGAATCAATTTATTCAGTGAAGTCTATGTAGTGTTTTAATTTCATATTTGTTCATTTAATTACTTCAATGCTTCTGCTAAATACATCCACTGCATCTGAAAAAATAAAGCACTATTTATTTAATATGAATATTAATTTGTGTAATGTTTATCTTGTCTTATTTTTTTAATAACAAAGAAAATAATGACAAAGATTTTATCTTTGCCACTGGCCTAAATGTATGCCTTTCTTTTTTCTTTTGTTACCTAAGGCTTTGTTTTTAACATAGGGACATTAGTTTGGCTGTAATGAACAGCCACTTGCAAAATATTAAAACAAACTTGAAAAAGAATCGTGATAAAAAAATCGTGATCGTGATTTTCCTAAAAAAATCGTGATATGATATTTTTTCCATATCGCCCACCCCTAGTGGGAGCATTTCAACACCAAATGTAAACTCTACGGTACTATGATTAAGTACAACAGCTCTACGAGTTCGCTTAGATACCACATTCATAATGTGCATGTAGCCGTGTTGCAGGGAGGAAGTCTGTCGCCTTTACAAGCTACAATCGCTGCTGTGGTGGGAAGGCGAGTAATGTGACCACAGGAAAGCGGAGGGCATGACTCAGAGGATTTGCGGCATGATCGAAAGAGATATGATGCCAGTTAGCACCACTGATGGTGAGGGATTCTGGGAGTTAATACACTTCATGGAGCCACGATATAATAACCCTTCTCGAGCGACCATAACTACCTACTTGGAAGCATGCTACAAAAACAAGAAGGCTGAGCTAAAAACGCAGTTAGCCGCAGCTAATGTGGCTCTGTAGATAAAACGGCACTTTTTAACGGGTTGGATCCATTTGAAATTTCCAACAAACAGTGGGAGCGTTACGCTAACTTAATCCGGTCAAAGGTAAACTGCGCTCCACCTAGCTGCTAGTTTAGTAACAGTTATAGTGCTAACAACCATTCATACATGCAAAATACTTTTAACGGTTGCCTCCGCTTTTATTTACTCAGTTGCTCGCATCACTAACCAACCCCTCCGTTTGCAAAGAAGAACTAGTGCGCCATCATGTGGAGGGATGTTTGACTACATGCAAGTATTTGAATTGTCGTCAATTTTAAAAATACGCGACACTGTCAGACAAGCATGGAGACGATAAAACAGATATTGCGAAAAAGGTGAGGGAAAACGAGTATGTAGAACAGGAGAGCCCGTTCACATCCCAAAGCGCCATATAGGACGCTTTTGCAAAAGCGTAAATATCCAACGCACATGGCACCCTTTAACGTGAAATGAGACGCTTCGGTTAATGGTTAAGTTTAGGTATGGTGTTGGGTAAGGGTTAGACCACTAGGGGGCGCCTTCTGCCCAAATATATCTGCGTCTCATTAGACGTTAAAGGGTGCCATGTGCGTTGGATATTTACGCTTTTGCAAAAGCGTCCTATATGCCGCTTTGGGATGAGAACGCGTTGAACAGGAACATCCAGGGTCATCCTTATCAACAATGATTTGTGATCATTGTAAGACGTGCAGTTAAATGCGTTGATGCAATAACGTTACCATATTAAGATTTGATTCAGAACGTCCAGTTTGACTGCTATTGTGGTTCTAATGCCCTGTTTTAATCGCGTTTTATCTAAACAACTTTGCAACAACGGGTTTGTAGGATAAATAACACAATTTTAGTACAAGTCAATGACTGGTAGAATTTGAATGAAAATCTGTAGGCTATTTTAAAAACAGCCATTGGTAAATTTTACCCTGAGGTGGTTCTAATCGTCGTGGTCCGGTAAATAACATTTTGCCAAAAGTTGTAGGACGTAAAGGGTTACAGTGATGTGTGTTGATTGATATTTTAGCACTCCGCGTGCACTTGCGCGTCATTTTTGAGGAACGCAGGGCTGCAGGCTGTGCACACTGTAAATGCTCGGGTTTTTCTTCTTTTAAAAATAATTTATGCACGTCGGGTTCGGGTAAGTAGTGATTCGGGTCGGGTACAGTTTTTAGGACCCGAGAAGACCTCTAGTGGAATCTAGTGCTTGTAGTCTTTACAGAAATCCCCCCTTCTTACACTTCCTCCTACAATGACGTAAAATGACGATTTTTGCGTCATTGTAGGAGGAAGTGAAAAAGGTAAATAGCGGATTTATCTCATCTCAGGGGAAAATGAGAGAGTGTTGCACGACCATTCAAGTAGTATGACTTGGTTTCTAACAATGGAAATTCTTAATGCAAATGAGTGGAATGACCCTTTAAGTACCTAAATTTAGAATTGTTATTTTCTTGTAAAGCACTGGCCGTCACTACTTGAAAGTGCTGGAAAACTGCTTACATTTCACTCTTATCTAATCTGTAGTGTGAACTTTGCATATAGCAGAGAAATTTGCATATGGGGAACGCATTAATGTCACTTTCCCAGCGGAACACGGACTGAGTGGCAAAAGAGCTGCTTAATTAGCCTGGCTGCGCCCGCCTACGCACTTCCGCTCAATTTCATTTTCCTTCAGTACTGCGTCTGGGACCGCTCCATATCCTTAGGTTTCCAGAAATCAATTTTTTGTAGGACCAATCAGCGAATAGAGGGAGTGGCTGAGAACGATGACGTTGATGTAGTGCGTCAGTTTGAGTGCAGTAATGGCAGCGGAGAAAGACGTGAGAAAAGCTATTCGGTCCGTTGTTGGAAAAGAAACTGCCGAATATACTGAATTTAAAGCCGGATTGTTGTCGTCTCACCTCTTGTTGCACAACGGAGGACCAACTGAAGGAGGCAGAAAGGTTGGAAGTTTGTGCTGGGCAGCTCGTGTACAATGACCGTGACATTTTGGACTTTAGCCTGGTGTTGGCGGTGTTCGGAAGCCCCGAGTCCTGCTGCTAAACTATTGTTGAAGATCCGCTCAGGACTCATGTGTCAGTCGCTCAGATTCCCAACAGTAAATTTACTGATTCTTGTGATGAATAGAACATTTTGAGCCCCTTTGTGCACTCGTACAGGAGGTTGGTGTGTCAGTTTTACATGTTGTAAATCATACAAATTGGTTGTGATTTAAAAAAAAAAAATTGTCATAAATAAAAATTTGAAAACCCATACTTTGGAGACTATATTTGATTTTCAGTTTTAGATGTCAATGGTTAATTTGTTTTAATAATAAAAAAAAAAACTAAATGCCATATAAAAATGTACAAACACATACTTTGAAGACCATAATTAAGGTAATTAAGAAACAAAAATACGTAATATGAAAAATTGTTGTTTATTACACATCTGCAGACAGACTGATCATTCACTGTAACTTACAGCATTGACTGAATAATCACTGTCCTTCATGTCAAATATACATTTCGAATTAATAATTGTTCCTAGATTAACAAAACCTGCAGCTCTCGTTGACTGAAATCCTATTGTAAATTTAATCCTCTGATCATTCGGAGTTCGGACTTGTTGTTTCTTTTACTGTCTATGGTTGTTTCCAGCCGTTTCGGCGCATGACATACGTCACTCACGACCACACATTAGCGATTGGCTATGGCAGATCGTGAGTGACTCTGGGCAGATCCAATAGATTTGAACTTTAATAGTGAACCCGCCTACAAGGAAGGAAACGTTTCTCAATTGAGGGAGGCCAGACTCTCTGTACAAATGAAATGTATGTACGAGAGTCTGGTAGAACCAGGCTAGGAGTTAATAGGGGAAACTGAAAAAATGCCAGTAAAACAAATTATTATCAGTTTACACTAAAAGTTGGACTCGATATAGTGTTCCTTACAACTTCTCAAAGATCCAGTGATCCATGGATATTGGAATCGTGTTTCCTGACATTTATATGTGCCTGATTTCGACGCCGGGGAAATAAATTAAGAAAATTTGCCTGTAAACGTTTTATATGAATGCAATATAGATCACTTACATTAATGTTATACTGTATATTATCATCATATCGTCCAGCCCTAAAACCTGTATAGTTTTTTGTCAGTGTTTATTTAAAAACATACAATTATGCAGAATATAGTCTGTTCTGTTGCTTTTTGCAGTCTGTAAAAATATACAGTGCCTCAGATTTCTGGTCAAATCTAGTTGTACAGTCAATCGCAAAGCTCTTTCCCGTTTTAGATATGTTTTGTGTGTTTTTTCACGGCATTCAGGCTGAAAACAAATGCTGAACAAAGTCTCTTTGTCACTTAATTGGCTTGACCGCATTCACTCCGGCCCAAGGATGAAGTCATGTGCATAACCTCTATAGAAAAAACAGGAACAGACCCAAATACCTTTCACATCAATGCACTTGCACTGACTGGTGAGGCTTGTGTGTGTGTGTGTGTGTGTGTGTGTGTGTGTGTGTGTGTGCGTGGGTGGGGGTTTGGGTGTGTGTCCAGCTCTCCTCTGGGCTTTATATAAGGCAGTAATCTGACTGTCAGACACTCATCTCTCAGACTCGATCGAGGAGAAGCTGCTCTTCTGACTCTCTGACTCCGGCTACAGTCGTACAGGTGAGTGTGTTTCTAACACTGAACACTTGTGGACTCACGGCTCATTCCAACACCTGTTTGCTGGAGCCAATGTTATTTTGTATTACAGACATAATAAATATGCTAAGTAGTAATTAATCAAATAGAGTAGAAATTGAATAATAAAGTCAGAAGAAGATATTGAAAATAAAAATATACAGAGGATAGGAGATAGTAACTATTAATAACTGCAGCGTTAATAAAATATTGGATTAAAAAACACTTGCTGCTATGTTTGTAAAATTTTTCAGAAATTGTCTATAAAGTTCCTTAGAAGAATATAAGATATGATGTGTTCGGGTTGTTTTCTTTACATCTAGTCATTAAGTTACCAATTTAGCAGACTCCAATCAGACTGATTATATTGCTCATAAGAGTCGGAACGAAACACCTCAGAAAGTTTCTATACGAAATTCTTTAAAAATTTGGGTAACACTTTACAATAAGGTTCATTAGTTAACATTATTAAATGCATTAACTAACATGAACTAACGATGAGCAATGCATAACTTACAGTGTTTATTAATCTTTGTTAATGTTAGTTAATACAAATAGAGCTGTTCATTGAGCATTCATGTTAGTTCACAGTCCATTAACTAATGTTAACTAATACAACCTTTGATTTTAATAACGTATTAGTAAATGTTGGAATTAATATTAACTAAGATGAATAAATCCTGAAGAAGTATTGTTCACATATTGCACATGTTAACTAATGTAGTTAACAAATGTTAACTAAAGAACCTTATTGTAAAGTGTTACCGAAATTTGTATCAATATATAGCCATGTATATTGATACATATCAAATATGTATAAATGAAGTCAAAAATAGCATTACATGTAATATTCACAAAGTTGTACACACAAATCTCCATCAACTGCAAGATGCTGCTTTTTCAGTTCAGCTACATTCAATTTGACCAATCATAGCCAAGCTTTTCAAGTGACGTCGAAGCAGACTCGAAGAGATGAAGATGCTGCCTAATAGAAGTTACTGGTAAGTTTTAGTTTTTTGCTAAATAAAAAGATCACTATTTAGGTTTTTTAATCTTAATAAATCTTTTTAAAATCTATGTGGATACATTTGTTTGTCTTATTCAAATATACAAATATAAAACCTTGTCCAATGCATCCGCAAAAAAAACCTAATTAGTCATTATTTATAACAAATGTGCAAAATTTGCTTTAACATGATTTTTATTTGCAAAATGAAGCTGTGTATTTATTTCTGATTTCTTGAAAAAAATTGGTGTCATTATGTCAATGATATTTCTTTGAAAAGTTTTGGGGAGAAATACATGTTAAGATGAACAAAGTTACTTTGTCTTGAGCTGACCAATAATGGTAGTGTGTGTTGATTGGTGTTTATAGAAGTTCAAGCTTGACAACCTTATGTATGCATATATAACTATATTTTTTTCTTATTAATATTTGTTGTTTTTCAGACAGCTGCTTTAAGAAAACTTGGAATTGGAAAGAAAACGCAATTCTAATGCGGATGTCTGGCCACTTAAGTTAAATTCAACCAGAGGTTTGCGACTTCTTCTGTCCGCTATCTTGTAATACTGGAATGCTGTGACACTGAATTAAAACAATGTTCTGTCCTAATATTTTTCATAATGAGTTACTAGAAAGTGTACTTTCTTTTTCAAGTGTGTAAAGTTTTATTGTGAAAATTGTTATCAGCATAATGTTAGTATAGTAAACGTGTAATATATTCACAAAGTACAATTCTGTGTAAGTATTGGCAATGTACTATTGAAAATGTGAAGCAAGCAACTGCAAGCAACACCATTTGGTAAGTATAAACAAACAATAACATTTATTCACACACAATAAAATAAACAAATGAAACCCCCTTGTATTGAGTCTTAATATACCAATAAACTTCAAATGTAAATCAACCCTTGTCTCTTATTTTCTCTTTAAAACAAAAAAAAACTCAATTTACTTTCACTCTGTGACTTTAAGATAGGCCTAAACTAAATCACTTTAAATTATTTCACTAGAATGAAAAACAAATTTAGGAATAACCTTTTCAATTACGTCACATAAATCACCAGATCACCTGAATTTCTCCGTCAGCAAACGACACTCAGCAACTCTTCATCCACCACGAGCACCTGCACACACTGGCGTTACTGGACCCGTCGGCTCACCATACAGCAGCAAACGAAACCCAGAGCTCATCCGATCTAGACCCGCTCTGATCAAAGTCCAGGGAACCGGTGTCCTCTTCACACGGATACGAAAATCATCGTGCAGTCCGCATATAAATATCCGTGATTCTACCGCGTTTCCATCAGTGTATTTTTCCACACTATGAAAATAAAGAGCTAGACGAACTGCTGTTTGGAGTAACTCTTTCACAAATGTTTCTGTGTTGTAGAAAAGTCCGAATTGAATAAATGCACGAATTAAATACTTATACAGCACTTGGATTACATTTTTCCCCTCAGCATTTTACAAAACCCGCTTCTCTCTCCTCTGTCTCAGAACCTCCTTCCTCCCTCATCCAATCCAAAAACACCCTCTGAATAAAGAGGGCGGGATAAAACACACAACAACCAATGAAAATAAAATAATACACGAATGCGAGGCAAAAGCACATTTTCCCCAACGACCGTTAATCTCCCTCATTATTCTTAAAGCAACCCATCCCAGTTATAATCTTATTCAAGTGAAACCCTTTATAAATCCTACAAATTAACTTCTCTGAATGACTGATACTATTGTTTAATCAATAATTCCCTACTCAGAACTACTTTCATAACAATCTCAGAAATAAGATATTAACAACCTTATAAGGAATATTAATGAACCACCTGGGTTACATATCATTTTACTATAGGTATTTCATATGTGGTACAACTATGTAAATCCAAATAAAATCCTATATACCATATTTTCTGCACTAGCCTATGAGTCGCACCAGATTATAAGGCGCAGCTTCAATGAATGACCTATTTTAGAACATTTTTGCATATATAGGGCGCACCGGATTATAAAGCACATAAGATACTGCAGTCAAGCGTTTGACTGGTTTGCGAAGACCCCTCGGGCGGCCATGGCGGAGACCTCCCTTCGGGCGCTCACGGAACAGGAGCAGGCATCCACCCAGGAACAGACATCGGTTGCTCTGGAACAGACCCTGGCTCAGGACTAGGAACAGACATCGGCTTAGGAACAGACCCTGGCTCGGATGCGGCCATCTTGTCCGAAGAAACTGGCTCGGAGGCAGCCATCTTGTCCGAAGACACTGACGTGAAAAGTCTCTGGATTGGCAGAAGTCATGTGAACAGTCTCTGAATCGGCCATCAGGCAAGTGCCTCTCTCCAGTTCAGACCCGAGAGATCGGGGAGCTACCTCGGGATAACATCCTCAGCCCCTAGCCGGTAACACAGCTTAATGGGCTTTATGCACAGCTGCACTACTTCCTGAACTTCAGCCAGCTCCTTGTTTCCTGTCTATCATTATTGGGCAAACTTGATTAATAGCTTGTTTTCACGTGACGTCACGCCACTGCGTTGCCATGGCGCGAAACGCAGATGGAGGGCAGGAAGTGATTTCTATATTTAGGAAGCACTATAACACACTCAAAATGCCTGTGTTTTACGTCGTTTATGGTTCCTCAAATCGATCAAACCACGAGGAGTTTTTATCGTGTGACAAAAGTTGTTCATAAGGGGGGAAAATACAAGAAATTAACAGAAAAACTCTGGGAAAAATGCCTTGAAAACCTACGACTGCGGTCGGGAGGAGTGTGTGTGCAGTGAACACTTCGTCAAATGTGAGTTAATACATTATTTATGTGGCTTATAATTACATTATTCAGGTGTTTAAATACACTTATGTGGCTGTTTGTGTAACGTACCAGTTTCCGAACTTTGTAAAGTCAAAGTATGTCTGTAAGACGAGTTAGTTGCTGATATCTACAGGCAAATCTCTCAATTCAGTTGAAAATCGGCCCTCTTCATAACGTAAGGATCACGTCCAACATATGTTTCGATTTTCTGTTGATATATTTCTCTTGTAATAGCGTCTAAAGTAGTTCAGTACGGATTTTCCTCCATCTCGTCCATTGCGCTCTTCACTCCTTGCCCTCCATCTGCATTCCGCGCGTCAACACAATCACGTGACTGCAAACCACCTATTCAGGTGTGTCTGATTATTGTTGCCGTGCCTACTGAGGTCAGGCACATCTGAATTAATCAATGTGTCCAATAATAGCAGACAGGAAACAATGAGCTGGCTGAAGTTCAGGAAGTAGTGAAGCTGTGCATAAAGCCGACTGCTTCGTCACCAAAAGAGCAGGAGGCAGCGAAAGGAGCAAACCCCCAGGTATACTGGAACAGATCGCGGCTATCCAGGGCCAAGGCTGCGATCTGACCGGCGAACTCCCGACTCATGCTGGCAAGATCAGGTGAGATCTGTGCTGCTGGATCTGAAGTGGCGAAGTATTCTGTTACGAAATGGAAGACTCAAGGGGATCGATGTGCAGCTTAAGTTTATTGAGCAGAGTAGTCAAACAGGCAAGCGTCAGAACCAGCAGATACAGCAGTGAAGACGGGGCTAAATCGTAGTACAATACCAGGCAGACGATCAGGGCAGGCAGCAAACAGTCAAGGTCAAAGAACAAAGCAGAGGTAACTTAAGCAGGCAGCAGACAGGGAGATATCCAAAACGGGCAGGGTCACAAAACAAACAGAGGCAGTCGCAGGAATAAACGCTCAGAAATTACAGGCCGTGGCAATGCAATATTTCGCAATGGTTCGCAATTCTCAAATTCAAGTGGTGCATTTTGAAATGAAAAGTGTTTCTTCTGCTAGATAATTAAACTCGTTGAAGTAAAAGCTCAGGCTTAAATCACCAGTTAGCTTTCACTTTTCCTCCGTCATATATAAAGCTGTTTTGGTAATCAGTGAGCTCAATCTATAGAAGGACTATAATAAGGAGATTGAACGATTGTCTTATTCTGTGTTGCAGGTTCAAACACGATGACAGGCATTATTCCCAAGAGCAAAGCAAAGGGCACTGACATCTGTTTTAACAGAGGGTTCAATTGTATAATCCGCTCTGATCTCGGCTGCTATATGAAGATAGGTGAATTAAATAAGAATTCAGACATCTCTATTCACAGCCTGCACCCTGCCTGCAAAAATGGAGACCACTACCTTAGTGCCAATAATGGCCCATTATACATCATCAAGGGCAAGTCAGTCCGCAGTGTCAACGACCTGACGACAGACAGCGATGCTAAAGTGTTCACTCTTCATCCCAACTGCCAGGGCGGCGACCACTACTTCTTTATGTATTATGAGTTTATCATCATCTTCAAAGAAAAGGGCACTTACCGAAAAACAAGTGATCTGAATACAGACTCATATCCTGAAGAATTCAAGCTGCATCCCGACTGCAGTAACGGCCTCTATTACTGGGGCGTAGGTAGTTCCTTCTGCTTCCTCAAGCCAGCCTCAGAGTGGGGAGTTGAGTTCGGCTGGGGTAACAACGTCAGGTATTTTACATCAATGGGTGTCGAATCTGTTCATCCCGATGCTCTTAACTTCCTTCCTGGTGGGCTGTCCATAACCAAAGGTGCATCCTTTGGCAAGTGGGAGAATATTAAAACCATTAAAAATGACAGCAATACACCAGTGACATGGCGAAATAAAATCAATAAAAAGGTTGGCTACACTAAGGAGAAGATGACCCAGATCACACACAACTGGAAGATATCCACGTCAGTCACAGCTGAAACTGGAGATCTTGCAAAGTTAATTGCGAAGGTTCAGTTCTCTTTTTCTGCAGAATATGGAGGTTCACACGTCAGCACTGAAAAAGAAAGCTGGAACGAAGTGACTGAAGTGGAAGAACAACTCTCATTTGAGCTGAAGCCGAACGAGGCTGTCTATCTGTGGCAGTACCAACTGGGTCTCGGGCAAGAACCAGTGCTGTTCTGCCGTGATATAAAGATTGACGACGAGCCAAACCCTCCGACTGAAGTCCCGCTGCCGCCCGTTCAATCATGAAAACATATCAGGATGGTTTAACTCCAAGAATAATCAAGTGCTTCAGTTAAACACCTTAATTATAACTTCTCAAGTCATCATTTATATATCTGCATGCAATGCTTAAAATAAGTCTGGAATTGTTTAATATAGCAAAGAGATTTTTCAGTTACAGTTGTAACTGCAAATTTCAACACTATTTGGTAACACTTTAGAATACTGTATCTTACTTACTGCATAACTAATAAGGAATTAATGAAGAACTAATAGGTAATTCTTTATTAACACTTAAGTCACTACTGTTTACTAAGGAAGATGTGTTAACTAATCAGTATGTAATATAATTTTATGATTGTGTTAAAGGAGCATTTCACCCATTGCAACATTAATCTTTATTGAAAGTGGATCATATATGTAGTCGAAATGTAAAATAATTTTTTAATTTGGTGCCCTCTTGACCGAGAAAAGACAGAAAATAATCAAGGGGCGCATTACTGTTAAAAAACTACAGTTCCCAGAATTCCCCTGCATTGCACAGCTCCGAAAGCCACACCCACTGACCCACCCATCCACCGGAACAGCGCAAACAGAGAATTCACTCTTCTGTCTACAACGCTAACATTAGCTGTCACCAGAGTAAGAGTTTGAAATTCATTTCAAACAAAATGTCTAGTTAGTTGGCTTTGGCGAGCAGGACGATCGAGGGCGAGGGATGTAAGAGAACGGCGCGCTGCGCGAGGCGATTCAGAGCTTTCCTCCTGGAGAAATTGCCATCGTTGAAATTCCCTGCAGCAGACGGACTCTGTGTCCGTAGGCCGTGACACGCAGCGAGAGTACAAGCAACAGCAGGCCGCCGAGCTCGACCCAGTCCGGGCGTCTCAACCGACAGCCAGGCGTCTCCTGCTCCTCCATCAGCCTCAGCTGCTCTAAACTATACTGCAGCTCGTAAAGATAGCCACGAACATCGGATTCGAGCAGCAGACTTTCAAAACCCTCTTCTTCCATATCATGTTTAGTTTCTTCCATCATTATCAAAACTTCATATCTCCACAGGGCTTGTTAGCTTAGCTTCCAAACAAGATGGCGGATATTGATTTTAGTCTCTGCAAGTGAAGTCCCGCCCACTGATCTGTAATAGGCCTGTGGGTGAGTGGGTGCCACACCCTTGAATAATAATGAGCTAATCATTGTAGTTTGTTGACATTTCAATGAAATGTGACTTCCTGCTTATCGTGACGCAAAATGACGATTTTTACGTCACGATAAGCAGGAAGTTAAACACTTAAATCCTTATTTCTCCCATCTCAGGGGAAAATAAGGGAATAAACCATGACCATTCAAAAATATGACTGGGTTTCTAAAGATACAAAGCTTAATGCAAATGGGTGTAGTGACCCTTTAAGTATCAGTTGGTTAATCAATAGCTAATGAATTCTGTCATACCTCCTGAAAAACTACTACTAATTATCTATTAATTAAGGTTCAAGAAAAATAACTGTAAAGTAACTACTAATTAACAGTCATACACAGTAGTCAGTTTGTCATTCTTCAGCACTAATAAGAAAGATAAGTGCAGACATTTACCTATAGGCTATGATCTACAAATAAGCAAACTTTTTATTTCATTAGAAAAACATATCATGTATATTACACCTTATTATTATACTTAGTTCTTATACATTTTAAACTTCTTTTGCAACATTCAAGTTCCGGCAATATCGCGGTCGCCACATAGACTGTCACCTGATGGAGTTTTGGTTCCTTGCCACTGTTGCCTTTTTCGCCCCTCCTTTGCCTTGTCGCCATTGGCTTAGTTGGGGAAATTTAACATTTAATTTTGAATTTAACAATACTATTATAACATTGTTTTCCTGTTATCTATGTGAAGCTGCTTTGAAACAATTTGTATTGTAAAAAGCGCTATATAAATAAAGGTGACTTGACAGTGATTTGGTGACGCAAGAGCGCGGGCATTTGCATCCTCCTCTGGCGAGTTTCAGCGCCGGCGTTTTGGTGCATGTCTTTAGCGAAATATAGATTTGTGTACGTTTTATTTAATCCATAAAATCATGACTGTGCTGTAAATCATTTTGTGTTGTTTAAGGAAACATACAAGGACACGATGTCAGTTACCCTATAGCTAGCTAAATCTATTTACATCAGATGTTAAAATCTGTTCTCAGAGCTGTGCAGTGTTATGGGCAGGTTATGGAATCAAGTATATTTTTTTTCTAAAATGTTTGTTAAATGAGTTTAAATGTAGGCAGTATTATACATGTTAAAACAAAATAAAAATTTTGCTATATAAAAAAATGTTCTCATCTGAAATAAAGGAAGATATCATGTAAACAAGTAATTGTTGTGTATTTTTAATATATATATTTGTTAATATATATATATATATATATATATATATATTACAGTAAGTTTGATTTGAGTCAGAAGTATGTGGTAACTCTTTATTTATTACTAATAGGTTCCCTATGTTGTCACTTTAGAATACTGTTCCAGGTTCTAAGTAATTCCTGAAGAACTATTTAAAAGTTATTTATTAATTACTAATAAGTTCCTTATATTTTCACTTTAGAAGACTGTTTCAGGTTATAAGTAGCCTAATTCCTGGATAATTAGACTAACGTGAAATTGATTCCCTATCTTAGCACCATCTACTGTTCTAAAAGAGGAAGTTGCTCAACTGTATTTGTGAGAAAATCTGATTCTGCCTGGACGCAGAAAAATAGTGCCAAAAGTCACGTGACAGGTTTTCGTACTTGTAGAATTTTGTTTTGTACTTGTAGAATTTTGTTTTGTACTTGTAGAATTTTGTTTTGTAGTTGTAGAATTTTGCTTTGTACTTGTAGAATTGTAGAATTTTATTTTGTACTTGTAGAATTTTGCTTTGTACTTGTAGAATTTTTTTTTGTACTTGTAGAATTTTGCTTTGTACTTGTAGAATTTTATTTTGTACTTGTAGAATTTTGCTTTGTACTTGTAGAATTTTATTTTGTACTTGTAGAATTTTGTTTTGTACTTGTAGAATTTTGCTTTGTACTTGTAGAATTTTGCTTTTTACTTGTAGAATTTTGCTTTGTACTTGTAGAATTTTGTTTTGTACTTGTAGAATTTTGTTTTGTACTTGTAGAATTTTGTTTTGTACTTGTAGAATTTTGCTTTGTACTTGTAGAATTTTGTTTTGTACTTGTAGAATTTTGCTTTGTACTTGTAGAATTTTGCTTTGTACTTGTAGAATTTTATTTTGTACTTGTAGAATTTTGTTTTGTACTTGTAGAATTTTGTTTGTACTTGTAGAATTTTGTTTTGTACTTGTAGAATTTGCTTTGTACCTGTAGAATTTTGCTTTGTACTTGTAGAATTTTGTTTTGTACTTGTAGAATTTTGTTTTGTACTTGTAGAATTTTGCTTTGTACTTGTAGAATTTTGCTTTGTACTTGTATAATTTTGTTTTGTACTTTTAAAGATTTTAATTTGTACTTGCAGGATATTTTTGTCATTTAAGAAATACGTTTCTATGTATATGTAAAACATACTGTATTTGTTTGATAGGTACATTTTTTATTTGCAGAACAATATGCATTAGTTTGTGAGTGATGTTTTGTATTTACAAACCATGTTTGTGAATCGTTGAGTGTGAGTAAAACACGTTTTGTGTGTGTGTGAGGTTTCGGCACATAATTCGCTCCATTGTACATGTCCATAACCTATATTAAAACTGTAAGAAATTAATATATATATATATATATATATATATATATATAAAGACGATATAAAAACATATTACGGACATATATATGTAACATGTGAGCAATATGCTATGCATATATGTGTAGTTTGTATATTGAACATATATACAAATAATATACGTCATATATATAGATAATTATATATGTGACATATGTATATAAAATACTATTATACATATATATATAATATATGGGCTAGTTTTATATGTCAATATATGAAATTGTTCCATTTTCGAATAGGTTTTATATATGGGCACATATATATGTACATATATGTTTTCACTGTCTATGTGCATATATTTAATATATGCATATTTCATATATATATATATATATATATATATATATATATATATTACATTTCCGTATGGGCAATACAACCTACACTTAAATAGCCTGTGCATAGAATGGCATTTAATTTATTTTAAATGCGATTTAGACCAAATCTATTACTACATTTGTATGACCAACTATTAACCTCAACCTTTCTTGTGGGTCATATAGTTCACCAACAAAGCTGACAAGTGACTTGCACTTTTAAATTAAAGTGTTCCTCTAATAAAACTGCAAGTCATTGCTCTTCTGCATTGCCCAGCCAGCTCTGAGGAAAGCTCAGCTACACGTTCCTCTCGCTCTGTCAGCACATTTACCTTCCTAACATCCGTTAATGACCTGATCTCACTCCCACTCGTGGATTCTCTTCTTGGACAGAGGAAATTATGATCAAGTGAATTTTATTTTCTGCAGTCTCTATCTATTTATACGCAAGAATGTAAGTCTGCAGTCGTGTAAACCTCATGACATCCAAGGCACTTCTTCCATGCTCCACTCTTCCTCTTCTTTCAGAGAGCTTCAGCTCCTTCTTACAGAAGACTTTTTTATTGATTATTTTGAAGGTTTTGAAGGTTTAAAAACTTCTTGCCTAAGGACTGCAGTTGAAAATTAGCCAGTTGACTAACACTGGCATATTTAAAGAAATTTTGATTAATGTGCGTTGTCCATATATATATATATATATATATATACTGTATATATACACACACACAATATCAATATAAATCTTGTCTTTGATTTACAGCTTTATTTTTTTGCATTGTGAAATAAATAGTTCGATGTTCTGTATTAGTGTTGTTTTTGTTTCCTTTTCTGTTTAGAAGATAACTGAGACTTTAAATTTCCTTTGTAAAAGCTTTATGAGGCATAACTAGTCCTCACTTTAGATGAGCTCACAAAAAGCTGTAAAAGATTATTATTCTGTTTGTTTTTATAAAGATATGGTGGAATCCGGCTTGTCCCGCAATCCGCCATTGGCTTGAGTACAACTGGCTTTTAAAGTGTAAATTGCAGGTAAAATTTTTCACAAAGATAATGCAACGTGCTTATTAAACATAAAGATAAGAACCACCCACCATTGTTTAATTTTTTTTTATGCCAAAATGCTGCATATAATATGAAAAGTTGTTTCGTTTTACCGTGGTTTTAAGCACGCCCCCTCCCTTCCACTAGGCTGGGCGCGACGTCATAAAAGGGACTCCAAGCTGCCTGGTCTATGTCTGGTCTATGCCTCGTCAATGCCTGGTCTATGCCTGGTCCATGTCTGGTCTATGTATGGTCTATGCTGGTCTGTGCCTAGTCTATGCCCGGACAATGCTCCAAGTCTAGAGTTACCGTTAGTCTAAATGGCAAGTACGCTAGCAGTTATATTGGAGACCTAGCCAGCACAAACGGTTAACTATTGTGTTTGTGCGGGATGTACGGATACATCAAAAACGGGGGAGAGGCTGCTCAAGTTCCCCATGGACAAACAACTAATTCGTGCCTGTAAGTGTTAGCATATCGGGTCCAAAATATCAATCCCAACCCTACCCGAGCCCGGTCCGACACACTAACTGTAATTATGAGCCTGAGCCCGTTTAAACCTGACTACTTTTGAATACGTGGGTCCTTATAACCGACGCTCTCAACTACTTTCTATGTAACCTTCTCCCGCCCGCAACATTTATGTTTTGTCCCGCCCGCAAAAACCTCCAAAAACTTTCAAGTTAGCCTACATGTCACATCAGCATACATGCTCCTGATAAATTATTTGTTATTAAAGCATTAGCACACAAACCACTGTTATAACACAGTAAAAGAAGCAGGCATGGTTTGGCATGCTCCCTCAATAATTCCTAAAAAGCTGACATCTCACACATCTCTGTTATTATCAATGAAGCGGACTGCACAAAATCTTTCATAATATATACACTTTGTTATAATTTAATGATTTGCCAGCATACAGAATTCAGCACTGAACAAAAAGGCCTCGAGCCCAACTCCTACGGCCTCAGTCTCCAGCCCACCTCTTATGACCTCAATCTCTAGCCTCAGTCTCCAGCCCTTCCACCAGTTTTGTCATTTCTCCTACCAGGCGGACAAAAAAAAATTGGAAAATTAAATTTGAGATCTTCTCAGGGACGAATCTACTAAAGAGGAACAAGAGAAAAGATTCAATTACTTTAACGAGACTTTTTTAATCCTCTTAGCCATTTCACACAGTGCGTTGATCCAGAGAAATTGCTGTGAAATTGCTAGAGTGCCTTCTGTGTGAACGCAAACAATTCCCCGGATTGATCCCGGGATCTATGTAGGGATGAGGACTTGGTAACTTTTGCAGGGATTAGTCCCAGAATGCTCCCCGTATGAACAAAAGCCAGGACCAATGTCATAATGTGTATTTTGTTGCTCTTAGAAAAAAGACTGCGTTTGTCATCAACAAAGAAAGAACAAAATAGTTTCTACAAACTGGAATGAAGCAGGGACCAGGGAGCTCCTTTCTCTCTGCGTTGAAGCTGACAGCGTTCGCCTGCTTTGTGGAATAGTACGCGTGCGCTAGTGTATGACTGAATCTGGAAAACAATACCCAAGCATGGTTTCTGGAGATCGAAAGAGCAGATCATTAGTGAACTTAAGACGCTGTGTAAAAAAGTGCAGGACTACAATGGAAAGAGCGGTAGAGGAAGATTAGACTGGCCTTTCTACAACACATCCTGATGTCACGTGATCTTCACTGGATGTGTGCGAACGCACTCACAGATACCGGAAAATCACTGGCGGATTGAATCCTGGGACACATTATCCGTATATTTTCCGGAATGTCTTTGAGTGTTAAAAAAAATGTTACTGTTTCTAAAGCTTAAAGGATAAATTCATTTCTCTCTCTTCTTCTGCCTATTATTTCATTTTGTTTATGGTTTAATGTTTTTTGAGATTTATACACACACACCCACATATGTTTATTCATTTATTTATGGAAAACTGGAGCTGTTAATATATTCTGGATTGTGTAAATCCATTGAGATGTACAACAGATAATTTCATGTTATGCAGTATGTGCAATAGTTCATTTTTTCACAGATTCATTCATCCAATATATATTAAAATAAAACAAAATGTAATATTATGCAAATGTGGTTTATTAGAACTGGATGTCAGAATGTATCAGAATTAGAGATTAAATTACATTCATTTTTTTTTTAGTCTATTCAAATTGTATATACAATTTCTATCAGTTTATCTGTTTTAGATGATCCTCTGCTTTCTGCTGTGTCATGCTGCACCAACTCATTCACAACATCTCCGACTCCGTGGCTGATATCATGCAGGAAACTACCCCTGTTGGGACAACTCGCTGATTCAGAGGTAGAGCCTGAGGAACGAGGGGCACTTTTATTTGAGTATTGGGGGTTTATTCCGTGCATTTTGGATGTATCTTACATTTATCTTTATTTGTCATATATTCTAGTTTTTTTATTTTATTTTGTGAGTAGTATTAATTTAACTGCAGCCACAACTATATTATTTCCTGTTATAATTGTCAGTGCATTGATGTTTTGATGTTGATTGGTAACGCATGCTGAGGAAAGCTGTGTCATGCTGCTGATGAGGTGCTGAGCGCTGCACTGTGTAGTGTACTGTAGTGTAGTGTAGTGTAGTGTAGTGTACTGTACTGTAGTGTACTGTAGTGTAGTGTAGTGTAGTGTAGTGTAGTGTACTGTAGTGTACTGTAGTGTAGTGTAGTGTAGTGTACTGTAGTGTACTGTAGTGTAGTGTAGTGTAGTGGTGGACACTGCTCAAACACATTTATCTATTTTTATTTGAAAACCCAAGACTAGCCTTTAATGATTTTGTGGGAGCCATGAATAAAATAAAACAGAATTCACATTTTCTCATTTTATTTGTCTTATCCTATCAATGAGTAGAATGGGTAAATTAAGGCTGATGCTAAATGTATTTTAGAATTATGCTACATAGCAGGCTAACTAAACTAAATGGATATTTTATTTATCATGTAGGCTTAGGGTAAAAATCATATCATGTAGGGTTAGGGTAGAAATGGATTGATGTGAACTAGAATGTGTTGTTGAGTGCTATTAAAATTCACATAGAGACGTGACAAAAAACATATATTTTATTATGACAGAAAAAAAGGATTTAAATGTGTCATGTTTTTATGTGAAATCTTATCATTTATCTTGGTATGGTCTACATACACAAATCTGAGAAGAAACCCAACATCAAGGCTGATATGAAGTTTTATTTTAAGGACTTTAAGGACTTCTATGGACATTTACAAAGAATTAAATTAATTCCTCTTTATTATACACATATTCACATTTCTGTTATTTTCTGTCTTTCTTTTTCCTCTTTAATATGTGAATACTTTTCTTCAATAAATTTGAGATGAATGTTATCTTTAACATTTATCATATAGCCCTATACTACCGGATGTTAAAAAGGTAATTGTCTGCTTTGGAATTATTTAGGGCATTATATGTAAAACATTTCTATATGTTGTATTGTATAACCTCGGGAGAGAATATAAGGAAAGAGAAAGGCACAAGTGCTGAGTGTGTAGTTTGGGCAGGGCAGGGACTCGCTGACGTCACGAGCGTCTCCATGATCATCTTCTCTAACGAGTTCAGCTTTGCTTTAGTCACAGTTCTGTTGGCCTGTGCTGAGGTAAGAAGGGTTATTCTCTGTGATATATATTTCATTTCTTTAACTATATTGGCCATCCATGCTGGTTAAAGAAATATATTGTTTATTTAACTGTGATTATTTTTGATGGATGGTCTTTGTAATGTTATTTAGTGTTTTGTAAATTCCACGTGGCAGAGCATATATTTCCTGGATATTATATTATATTTTAGGTTTATTTTATTCTTTGCATTTTGGAGACATCTTACATTTATCTTTTTTTTTGTCATTTGTTCTAGTTTATTTTTAGTGAGTATCATTTGATTACCAACTATATTATTTCCCTGGTACTGCTTTAATGTTTACTAATGAACCTTACTATCATGAACCAACAATGAGCAATGCATTTGTTACATTTGTTAATGTTAGTTAATAAAAAAATACAGCTGTTCATTGTTTGTTCGTGTTAGTTCACAGTGCATTAACTCATGTTAACAAATGCAACCTTTGATTTTAATGTTTTAGTAATATATACTAAGCTAATGTGTAATATTAACTAAGATTTGTAAATTGCTGTAGAACTGCCACAGACCAGAGTCAGAATGATTTTGTGGGACACGTGAATTAATAATAATAAAATAAAATAAAAATAGAATTACCTTTTTTGTCTTATCTTATAATTGGAATGAGTTGAATGAGTAAAATAAGGCTATTGCTAAATTTAATTTAAGTTTATCCTAAAATGCAGATATGTATCTATTGTTTTTTCTAACCCCAGCTAAACTCTTCCTCTGTCAACATCTTCACAACTCAGAAAAGAGGCAACTTCCTCTTAATAAGGTAGGTCTAAGATGGTTTTACTCTTTGTATAGCAGTCGTTCATTAAAAATTTTAAATGTAGAACATAAAATGCATATGTATGTATGAAATGTAGAGTATACTATAACCACCAAATTTAGAAGTTTCTCTATAAATGATAAGTGACCAAATGGTCCATTAGACACAGCTCCCTTAAAAAGGATTTTAAGGGATACTCCACTTTTTTTGGAAATATGCTCATTTTACTATGAAAAATGTAAAAAAAAAAAAAGGAAATTGGATATATATATATATATATATATATATATATATATATATATATATATATATACTATGGAGCAATGGGACCAGAAACTGTCTTTCCAGTTTTTCCTTTTTAACAAATTTGCTAAATTGTCATAGATCTGTTTTTTTTATTTTGTCATTATGTTGTATGGGGTGGAGATGGATGTGGAGGAAAAAAGTAGTTTAAAGTAATTTAACACAAGGCAGCAACATAACAAAATGTGTAAAAAAAAAATAAGGGGTTTGAATACGTAAGCAAGACACTGTATATCTCGTTCAAAAGAGTACATGTATAGTCCCAAAGCTAGCATAGTCAAGTAGGTGAAAGATACATCCTACAGATGCACTGGGACGCATCATCGCTTCTGTTCCTGGCTTCATCTGTGTTTCGGGTCTTTCATCATCAACACCCTCACTCAGGTGACCCAGTCGGGGGTGATCAAGCCCACAGTTATGTCCCAGCAGCGTTTGACCACTAATCCCCTCTTTTAATCACCCAGCAAGCTGTTTCGAGATCGCCAATAGAATGATGATGTCAGGTTTGCTAACATGTTACTGTGATGTGTGCTGCGAATTAAAAACATTTCTTCAAGCCAGAAACACCAGAAAGAAGATGTCCTGTTGGAGTTTTGTGCTGCAGTGTTGCCTGCTCTCCTATCTTCACAAACAGTATTTCTTTCCTTGCTCAGTCATGGTACTTACTGCTTTCAATGGGCAGGGAGACAGTCTCCGCTACTGTCTTTAGATCCTGGTCATGCCGGCAGCAGTGACGGCCATCCCCAAGAGCCTTTGGGCAGCAGCTCAGGGTGTGTTCTAGTGACCCTTTCCCATTGCAGAAGGCTCTTGCCAGATGTCAGACCATGTGAGCCTCTGTTCTGTTACGCCTTCCCATCTCATCAATGCCCCCGGTTGCATCATGCCTGCCACCTTGCTAATGCGCACTTCCTCCTTCGATGCCCCTTGGTTGGCTGTAGTTTGGCATTGGGAAACTGCCAAGCCCTTCTCTTCCACAAGCCACTGCTTCCTTGCCTTAGCCTGCCCTCTGCTGCCATACAGAGCTGTTGTACTCAAGCTGTGTGGTAGAGAGATAGCTGTTACCTTTCCTCTCCATTAGCTCAACTGATGGCCATAAAATATGTGTCAGGATGCCATGCTTGTATATCCAGAACTTGAACTTTCCAGGCAGGCCAGATTTATCAACTTTACTGAGCCATGTCTCAAGCTCACAAATGGATGAATGGATAGCGACTGTATCTCAGACTGTATCAAAGAGACTCTTCACTGGCTTCTCACTAATAGATGGATTTGGGGTGCTCTCAACTATTAAGCAGAACGTGTTACCTTTCTTCAGGACAAGTGATCTGAATTTGGAAGGCTTGACGCTCAATCTTGGCCACTTGATATCCTCTCAAGACCTTGGAGAATCCATCTGCTACCCGGAACAGAAGATGTCGAGACTGTGAGATTGTCCATACAAGCTCTTATCGGTGGTTGTCCCACTCCAGACTTGGACAGCTTTGGCAACCATGTTCATGGTAAGTGCAAAAAGGATTACTGAAATTGTGCATCCAGTTATAATAACCTTCTCAAGGTGCTGCCAATTCAATGTTACAGACCCAGACGTGACTCTCAAACTGAATGTTTTATAATAATCCAGGATAAAGTCTGTGCTCTTACTGGGGACATAGTACCGGTTCAGTGCAGTCTCTACCAACTTGTGTTTTATGGACCCACAGGCATTCCCCAAGTCAAGCCCTAGCACAACCAGGTCTTCATTATTATCTCATGCTTCTCTAATCCACTGGCTGATTATTCCAGTGTGCGCAAGACAGCCAGGCATCCTGGGAGTCCCTCCTTTCTGCATTGATGTATTAATATAACCATTCTAAAGCAGAAAGTCGATCATTTCCCTGGATAGGACACAGAGGAAAATTTTGCCCTCAGCACTGAGCAGCGAAATGGACTTAAATTGCTCAACGTTTGTGGAAATTTCTTCCTTAGGTGTCCATTGACCTTCAGCATGTCTCCATTGGCTTGCAATAATCCCCCTGTGCCATATCGTCCGCAAGAGCAAACGGAAGGAGTTGGCCTTGCCCGTCTCCTGTGCCACTTTGCTCTTCTCAAGGTATGCAGCTTCTTCCTAATAATGTTACGAAGCTCGATAAGTGGTGGCTTCACCTCCTCCTCTGCAGTCTTGTAATGCTTTTTGAGAATGTGGAGTTCATGTCACAGTTGATGAATTCTTGGTATATGGAGTTTTGTCGATTTTCTCTTCCTCTTTACGGAACCGTTCAGCTCTGTAACTTACGATGATTATAGTCAGGGCTGTTGGCAACTGTTAGCATCACTCTTCCACATATTTGATGTTATGTGGGGAACATCTTCTTCAAACTGCTACCGCTCCCTTTTCCTGCTGGTAGCTGTCCATTTCATTATTACTTGTTGGTTTATTCTGCCTGAGGATGGAGCTTCTGGTGCCCGAAGGTTCTGGGCACTGTGGGCTGATTCCAGGCCGGGTTACTCCTACATCTCACCAGGGTCAGACCCTGTATGTTGCACTATTGGCTTCTTCCTCAGGCATTTAATCCTGTCAGTATAAGTCAAGTATAGTCAAGTGCAATTTTAAGTAAATTCTAAGAATACATAAAGTATATTTCTGATAAGCATATATAAAAATTGACTCAAAATATACATTTTAATTTTAAAGAAGTATACTTAAAGTAACGTTAAAAACCCCAAACAAACCGCTAACCGCTTTCATTTGGTGTATGAATGAGTGCGCGAATGGGGAATGGGTGAATATGAGGCAAAATGTAAAGCGCTTTGGTCTGTGAAAGTGCTATATAAATGCAGTCCATTGTCCATTTACCATTTTGTGTGTAGATTGAATGTTTTTTTTTCTTTCTTCTGTGTTGCAGGTTCAGGCACGATGAACAGCATTATTCCCAGGAGCAAAGCAAAAGGCACTGACATCTGTGGAGTGGGCAAATACTATTATATAATCCGTTCTGATCTTGGCTGCTATATGAAGATAGGTAGTATCAATAGAGGTTCAGACATCTCTATTTTTAGTCTGTACCTTGCCTGCAAAAATGGAGACCACTACCTTGGAGATGAAGATGGCAACTTTTACATCATCAAGGGCAATTCCTACCGCAGAGTCAAGAACCTGACGACGGACAGCGGTGCTGAAGTACACAGTCTTCATCCCAACTGCCAGGGGGGAGACCACTACTTCTCAACTTCTGGCAAGTTTTACATCATCTTCCAAGAAAGGGGTACTTACCGAGAAACAACAAACATGAATACAGACTCAGATGCTGAAGAATACAAGCTCCCTCCCAACTGCAGAAACGGCCTCTATTACTGGGGCCTGTCCAACGACTGCTTCTTCCTCAAGCCCGTCTCAGATTGGGGAGTTGAGTACTACAAAGGGACTGACCTCAGCAAAGATGAGTGTGTTGGTGTCTATTCTGTTCATCCTGATGTTGTTAACTTCCTTCCTGGTGGGCTGACAGTAACTATGGGCCAATCCTTTGGCAATTGGGAGAATATGAAAACTAATGACAGCAATACACCAGTGACATGGCAAAAGAAAATCAACAAAAAGGCTGGATACGATAAGGAGAAGATGACCCAGATCACACACAACTGGAAGATAACCACATCATCCTTGATTGAATCTGGAGAGCAGGCAAAGTTAATTTTAAAGTTGCACCTCCACTTTTTTGGAGATTCACATGCCAACACTAAATACGAAAGCTGTAATGAAATGACCGAAGTGGAAGAACAACTCACACTTGAGCTGAAGCCAAACAAGTCTTTATATCCGTGGCAGTAAAAATTGGTCTCGGTGAAGAACCAGTGCTGTTCTGCCGTGATTTAAAGATTGACGACGAGCCAAACCCTCCGCCTGAAGTCCCGCTGCCACCCGTTCAATCATGAAAACATATCAGGATGGTTTAACTCCAAGAATAATCAAGTGCAATACCTTAATTATAACGTCCCAAGTCATCATTTATATATCTGCATGCATTGCTTAAAATGAGGCTTGAATTGTTTAATATAGCAGAAAGATTTTTCAGTTACAGTCAATGTAACTACAGATTACAACACTATTCAATATGGTATTATTGAAACTTTGTCTTTATGATTAAAAGAAACAGACAGAATCTGACTTTAAATCTTATGAAATTTCTTCCTAAAATCACACACATGCAACCTAACTACAGATCTTTCAGTTTGGTGGCTTAATCTGGCTTTAGAAAAGTTAGGCTAGAAAAGAATGGAAAATATGGAAAACATAATAAAACAAACGGAAAATATGGGCAATAATGTACAACTTGCTGAGGGCAGAAACTATGGTAATAGTTTCGAAATTAACGAAATAGTCACAATGAAATTAAAAAGGGTGAAATAATATTACCTTTACCCTCCGCAGTAGATGGTTGGGAGGATGACATGAAGAAGTGGCCATGTCACATACAGTAGTATTTTAGCTATTTTGTAGATTCAGTAGCCTGTGACAGTAAAGCGATGATCAATTTGAAAAGCTCGGATGCATATCAGTATCTACACAGTAATAAAGTCAGCCGGGTGTTATTTAAGGACGTTGGAAATTACCTTGTGTATCTTAAAGGAGTAGTTCACTTTTAAAAAAAACTTTTGCTGATAATTTACTCACCCCCGTGTCATCCAAGATGTCCATGTCTTTCTTTCTTCAGTCGAAAAGAAATTAAGGTTTTTGATGAAAACATTCCAGGATTTTCTCCATATAATGGACTTCAATGGGGTCCAAACGGTTCAAGGTCCAAATGAGAGTTTCAGTGCAAACTGTTCAAAGGGCTTTAAACAATTCCAGACGATGAATAAGGGTCTTATCAAGTGAAACGATCACTCATTTAAAAAAAAAAAAAAAAGTTTACGTTTTATAAGCTCAAATGCTCGCCTTGCTCTGTTCTGTGACGCACGTTGGCGACTCTCCTATTCAAACTCGTTCATCAAAATTAACAGATCTTTTCCCGAGTCAACTCGTTCATTTCGTTCATTGAATGAACCAAATGACACGAAAAAAGATCTGTTAATTTTGATGAACAGGAGAGTAAACTTTTTTTTATTTTAAATGAGCGATCATTTCGCTTGGTCTTACCCTTATTCATCGTCTAGAACCGTTTAAAGGGATAGTTCACTTTGAAATTAATGTTTGATATGTTTTATCCTCCCTCAAGGGGATCCAAGATGTAGGTGTCTTTGTTTCCACAGTATTTTCAATTTTGACATTTTTCAGTCAAACCGTTGTTGTCTGTCAGTCATACACTGGAGGCTAAGGGGGTCCACCAAAAAGCATGCACAGAAGTCCGAATTAAACATGATTGAATGACTCGTAAATGTAAGTACACACTGATGGCCTAAGACACGAAACGAGCGGTTTGTGTGAGAAAACCAACAGTATTTATATCGTTTTACCTCTTGTAATCATAGCAATGACAAAATGATCTGACGGCACGGGCGCTTCGGTCTGCACATGGCACACTTTGTTTATACAGAGGGAAGTTTTACCTTTCACTAAACATATTTAGATATACGGGAAACCGCAATGGAAGACGATTTCGGTATATCTAAAATATGTTTAGTAAAAGGTAAAATTTCCGAAATCTCCGTGTAAATATTGAGTGACGTCACACGCAAGCGAGCTGTGTAAGTACATTGAAATTATGGTGTACGTTTCTGTAATTATAATGTACTTCCGTGTAGGTATAAGGGAACAATATGTTAATGTTTGGGGTAATAAAGGGGTAACAAACAGATATACAACCTGCAAATAACTTTGTAAGTACACTGAAATTACGGTGTACGTTTCTGTAATTATTGTGTACTTCCGTGTAGTTATATGACTGTTCAATTTATAGTTACAAATACTTTCCTTACTTGATGTCTGTGATTCATTTACTGCCAATGGGCTATGTGCACAACCGTAGTTTCGAACTTCCGCTTTTGTCAGAAGTCGGCGTATCAGTTTCCGGTCTACGACTGGTCATCCGCATCCACTAATAAACAAAGAAGATGAGTGCTGCTGTTGTACGAAAAAAAGAGTTCTTAAAGTCCCCGTGAAATCAAAATTGAACCTATTTACTTTGTTAGCGCATATTACTAGTCTTGTGGTGAACAATTAATCCGTGCAAGTGAATATATATTAAAAAAAATGTTTTACCTTAGTAATCTTTAATCAAAATCTGAAAAGTTACTTCCGGTCTGGAACGGTTTCTTTTTCTGATGACGTAGGTTCAAACCGTTAGTTTGCTATGAGCGAGAGATGGAGAGGAGGAGCGCTAGAGTCAAACCCTGCCCTCTGTTCAATATTCCGCTTCACTTGGAAATACGTCACAGTATTTTTTGACACAACTTTTTGTTTTTAAAAATAAGTTGCAGCATAACTTCTGGACTTTAAATAAAAATATTAAGTATGTGTTTGTTGTGCATTTATGACTGTTCCCTTACCATCCTAGGAAAAAAAAGGATATGACTTACCTCAACCCCGTCCCTAAACTTAACCGTCACTGGGGTTAATGGCATTTATGACTGGAGATTTGACTGCGTGTTCAGACACGCGGAATGACGCGGACGTTAATGGCGTAGACATATACGCATACACGCGGATAGCTGAATTAAAAGCTCAGTTTCTTTTCTTTCTTTTCTCTAAACACAGAAAACATAACATGCAAACAGTACATCATACCTGGAGATATGTGAAATAACACCATACAGACTTGAAATACAGCTCATCCGGTCACATAACTGTCAAAAATAAATATGAAGTAAATTACATGTGAATATAAGCAAATACAACGAAAACCATGTGCTCATAATGAGCTCGACAATGAGTTTCAGTATAAGATAAATTATTCATAAACTCTATGTCTCTTATTATGAAATCAATTATGAAATAAAATACTTTCAAAAGAACAATTCTGATCTTAAAAGAGAAATAGAGTCATCACTGACAACACTTCATTTCTGTTTGACCGGAGAGAGATTTTCCACCTACAGCTCGCATAAACTGAAGAGAAAATGGCGGATAGCACTAATAGGTACTCTATTCGCCTGTAGGTGTCCCCATATCCATTTCTTAGATGCACTTGGTACATTACATTACACTTCCCACATGTTTCTTCAAAAGTGTGTTAAACTGTTTAGAAGCAGATCTCCTAGAAGTTGTAAATGCCTCACTTCGCTCTGGGAGTTTTCCGAACTCCCTGAAAACTGCAGTTGTCAAGCCCCTCCTGAAAAAGAGCAATCCGGATAAGACCATCTTGAGCAATTATAGACCGATCTCAAATCTTCCTTTCATAGGCAAGATCATTGAAAAGGTTGTCTTCAATCAGCTGAACAAATTTTTAAGCTCAAATGGATACTCCTATTCAACCTGTATATGCTCCCATGAGCCAAATAATGCTCCACGTGAAACTGCGGTCTTCCAACCTTTTACTATCGTGTCAAATGATTTGAATAATATGCGGAGAAAGAGAGCAAAACAGCGCTCGATTGTGTTGTTTGAAGACGCGAGAGTGCGCGCGGCCGCGGCACAACACATTTTCTGTAGGTATACTGCCCCCATCTGGTATGGAATAGGGATTATTTTTTGATTTTTAGTTCCAGATGGCACCTTTAATTAAAAGCTTTTTTCTTTTCACATATTTATATGTGAAATTTGGATTTTGCTTTTAATATGCTAAATAAAGCGGAATACTGCTTTTAATGTATAGGGGCTTTATGTAGAACTCAGGAACACTTTATTATGCTTGTCAGACTGTACGAACATGATCCTCATGTCAGACTGTACGAATTTACAGCATTACTTTCTGTAATTTTAGTGTACCATAATGGAACAATATGTAAAGTTTGGGGAATAAAGGGGTAACAACCAGGAGAATTAACACATTTTTTATACTGTAAGTATTTTACCATTATTAGGTTGGCTGTGAATGTGGACAGTTTTAGGGGACAAGTGAAAACTCACTTGTTCAGGTTAGCTTTTGGGTAATCTCTGTACTTTATATGTTGATGATTTTATCTGTTTTATTTTATTTTTTATCAATTTTTGTATATTGTGAAGTGCATTGTGACTAAGTCTGTGAAAGGCACTACTTAGGCCTACTTACTTACTTTTAGAACTAAGGGGTTCTTATTTTACTATTTTGATACAACAATCAAACATTTGGACTGGAAGCAATTTAGCGACAGCATACACTGCGTACCTTTTTGTAATGGTGTACCAATATATACTGCATAGGATTTTTTAAAAATTACAGAGTACATTTATGTGCATGTATTTTTTTATAGGGTGATATCAGGTAAAATGGGCCATCAGGTAAAATGGGCCATTTAAGGTTTGGGGGTCCCAGCTCCTCTGGAATTTAGAGCCAATGACTGCAAAGGATTTCAAACTGTTGTCATAACTGTGCTTGACAAGTAACAGGTGATTTGATTGGTTTATGGTTGCTATGGTGGGCGGGGGAATAATTCAAATCGAGACTACACCAGAAAGCTGCATGGTAAGTAGCCTGGCATACCAAATTGCACTGAACTATTATAAGGATGATACATCAATAAAAAAACAAACATGCTCATAAAAAAAACTATGCATACTGTCTGTCTCGATGGCATTAATCAGAAATAATGTTGTTAGTTTGGTATATAAACATATTTTTTGTAAAAGTGATGTTTTTCTTGACGGCCCAATTTACCTTAACCCACTAAGGTAAAATGGGCAACATGGTTTCAGCTAAAATGGGCCATCACCTTTGACACACACACACACACACACACACACACACAAATAGACACAGACTCAGACACACATACACACAGATACAGACTCGGACACATAGACTGACACACAGACACAGAGACTCAGACACAGACTCAATTTCAATTTTCAAATTGAAATCAGACTGAGACACAGACACACAGATTCAGACACACTCAGACACACAGACTCAGACAGACACAGAGACTCAGACACAGACTCAGACACATGGACTTAGACACACAGACTCAGACACAGAGACTCAGACACAGACTCAGACACACAGACTTAGACACACAGACTCAGACACACAGACTCAGACAGACACAGAGACTCAGACACAGACTCAGACACATGGACTTAGACACACAGACTCAGACACAGAGACTCAGACACAGACTCAGACACACAGACTTAGACACACAGACTCAGACACACAGACTCAGACACACAGACTCAGACAGACACAGAGACTCAGACACAGACTCAGACACACAGACTTAGACACACAGACTTAGACACACAGACTCAGACACACAGACTCAGACAGACACAGAGACTCAGACACAGACTCAGACACATGGACTTAGACACACAGACTCAGACACAGAGACTCAGACACAGACTCAGACACACAGACTTAGACACACAGACTCAGACACACAGACTCAGACACACAGACTCAGACACACAGACTTAGACACAGAGACTCAGACACAGAGACTCAGACACAGAGACTCAGACACACAGACTTAGACAGAGACAGGGACTCAGACACACAGACACAGACAGACACACAGACTCAGACATACAGACTCAGACAGACACAGACACACAGACACAGACTCAGACACTCAGACACAGACAGACAGACACACAGACACAGACAGGCACACAGACTCAGACACACAGACTCAGACACACACACACACACACACACACACACACACAGACTCAGACACACAGACTCGGACACACAGACACAGGAACACAGACTCAGACACACAGACTTAGACACACAGACTCAGACACAGACAGACACACAGACTCAGACACACAGGGACTCAGACACACAGACTCAGACACACAGACTCAGACACACAGATTCAGACATACAGATTCAGACACACAGAGACTCGGACACAGATTCAGACACACAGACTCAGACACAGGAACACAGACTCAGACAGACTCAGACACAGACTCAGACACACAGACACACAGACTCAGACACACAGGGACTCAGACACACAGACTCAGACACACAGACTCAGACACAGACTCAGACACACAGACTCAGACACACAGGGACTCAGACACACAGATTCAGACATACAGATTCAGACACACAGAGACTCGGACACAGATTCAGACACACAGACTCAGACACAGGAACACAGACTCAGACACACAGACTCAGACACAGACTCAGACAGACACACAGACAGACACACACACACACACACACACATTTTTGTTTTTAAATGGCACATATGAACTATGTTTGTTTCATTTGGCTGTATAAGAAATTGTGTTTAAATATAATTAATGATAAATTGCTATTTCCGTTTGCAATTTGACTGGCCCATTTTACCTGAAACGGCTCATGCAAAAAAAACTCGGCACTTCTGATGTTTCAAGAACTGTAGGGCCTAAATAATTTTATTTTATTACAAAATTTCAACACAAATGTATCAAAAACAGTCATAATTAATCATAAAAACACATGGATACTGCAAATATGGTATTGTATTATTGTCCCAAACGATTTACCAAAAAGTGGCCCAATTTAGCTGATATCACCCTAGCAAAAGTTTAGATGTCTGGTATACATGTTTCGAGGCAAGTAAAGTTAAAACTATTAAAAATAAAATAAATACTGGGAAATAGTCTTGTTCCTGTTACTGTTTGACTCTTTGTTTCCCCATTTTCTTAGTGTTTTGGTTTAGTCCCATTCAGTTTTCCCGCTCCTCGTTTGTCGTCAGTTTATTCACCTGTGTTTAGTTAATTAGCGTCATCCATGTCTTCTATTCATCATTGTCTTCAGTTTCTGTATTTAGTTTCCCTATGTTCAGTTTTGTGCGTGATCTTTCTGCCAGCCTGCCTGAACCTGTTTATTATTTTCATTTTTTGAGTAAATCTTGGATTCGGAGCTTTTGCCTCAGTCTGCTTTCTACCTGCACTACACCGAACAAAACTCTGGCGTTTCAGCGATTATCTTAACGTCTCTGATTGGCCATTGAATCTCAACAGATCATGTGTGATTGGTTATAGTGTATTCTAAAATAGAATTTACACATGGTTTGTGATAAAGCCATTACTGAGTATTTTCTCCTAGAACCAAAGCCTATATCAAGACCAACTTTTATAGGCAAAGCTATTTTAAGGCATGGGGAAAAAACTTAAATGTTTAATTTGATGAGCAAAGATGAGTTACAAGAGATAAAAAAATATTGACTACAGGGAGGCTTTAACCTGTTTTACAACAGCACTGCGAGTGTTACACAATCAAGAGCAAGAATGAGAAAGTGAGGTTATTACTCACTGAAATATAAAACAGGATTGGTTTATTCAGAGTCATGATATACACGTGAACGCACACTCATCCCGACTGCGCAAGCAAGCCTCTCATGCGTGCGACTGAACTCCATCATCATCATCATCATCGGTGGGTCATTAACAGTAATGAGAGAGATTGGGATTCACTCACTACAGCAGGGATACGAGGAACTGCAGAAACTGAAACACTCGTTCCTGACAGCGTAAACTCATTATGAGAACATTTATGACACTCTAACAGTCTAAAAAAGCCTGCGTAAAATATTGCAACTCACTTTACATGTAGGAAGGAGAGCAAAACATGAGAACACTTTAAAAGTGGATATAAAATATATCTTTCTTTTCTAAAGAGACTCCAGTAGATGAAAGTTCACAGAGAAGAAAGATCTTTATTTTAAAAGAAGTCCGCGGCCGTGGCTCTCCTGGTGGCGGCGGGTGATGGCGAGGGCGACTTCAACACGCTGCTCTTCGGGGTCCTCGCGGGGTCAAAGGGCACGCTGGCCTGACTGGCCACACCCACCCGCGAGCTGCGGTCACTCTTCCTGAACTCTGCGACACACACACACGTTACTCAACCTCTTCGCATTTCCTCAAATATTACAATGATTTACAGATTTGTTGACGGGAGAGCCTGAGAATCCTCGAGCTCCACAAACTCTAATGTTGCTCAATCCATTTCATTCATTAACTAGAAGCTCATTCATACAAATAACACATACATACCCATGGTTTTATTATTCTTGAGGCCAAATCTGACTTTCTTCGGCAAAATCTGGGGGAGAAAAAATAAATAAATAAAGATCAAGAAACAACTTTAGAAAGATTAACGCAGGGCTTTAAAAAAAAATCAAATTATAATTGATAGTAATTCAGTTATGAGGGGGGACGTAAGCCAATGTTTATGCAACATCCTAAACTATAAAATTACTAAACATTGACAACCGTTTTTACAAATATTTGATTTTTTTGTTTATTAATGTGAGGTTTACACTTTTATAAGAAAAGGGATGTCAAAATAAATGATTATAATTCAATTTAAAACATGATTTATATACATTTATATTCTAGATTCATCATTATTACATTTTTTTTATGTGCATTAGCTTCTTGTGGATCCAGCGGTCAACATTTACACCACTGTGTGTAAACGTGTCGATCTTCACATTAGACTGAAGTACCGCGGACGCTCTGAATGATAATGCAGACTCGCTCTCGGACAGTAGGTGGCGCTTATCATATAAACACCACAGAGTGAATATAGTCATCGTTTATCAACAGTACATCCAGCAACAGCAGAAGTGTGCAGTATTGACTGATGGAGAACCATGTTTTAATCTGAAACATGCAACACTCACATTTCATTAAACCATCGCCTTCGCAATTCCTGGTTTTTCTTCCCCAAATTTAAGATCTTGAAATTACAACTATTCTTGTCCATTACCAAGATATTTAAAAACGTTTTATGTGGTGTTTTTAATCCGCTTTAACACACACCATGTGTAAGTTGATAAGTGGACAGCATTGCTGAGTATTTCCTCATTAAAACTGCACTGAACCAAAAACACGCTGAAATCGCTGGTGTTTCTGACGTCACAAACCACCTTGTAACCAATCAGATCAACGTGTGATCGACAACCAGTGGATCTCTGAGTGAGTGAGTGGAGGCGGGGCTCATCTGCATATTCAGCAAACCGTGCATACTAAATGAGGCGAGGGTGTCGAGTTACAGTCAAGATATTTTAAGTCAAGAAGGAGGAAAAAAACATTTAAATTTGCAGATTAAAGATGGGTTCAGGGATGAAATGACTGACTACAGGGGGACTTTAAGACATGTTAGTTTGGCGACGTCAGCTCGTCTCTGAGCCGGAAGAGGAGGCTTGTACCTTTTTGCTGAGCATGTATCCCGCAGCTTTACAGAAGAGCGGCGCGGGCGCTTTCTTCTGCCGGAGCACGAACTGCTGCGGTTTGAGCCGGTGCTCTCCGGCCTCCTGACGAGAGGAACACACACAGCTTTCATAAACACAGCTTTAAAGGGTTAATTCACCCATAAATGAAGATGATGTCATTAATGACTCTCCCTCATGTCGACCCAAGCCCGTCAGACCTCCGTTCATCTCCAGGACACAGTTTTAGATATTTTAGATTTAGTCCGGAATTCAAAATTCTTGTTCAGAAAGGAAACGAAGACACACGTCAGAAGTGAAGGGGGCGGATTGGAGTCCATTTTTCTTTCTAAATATCAAATGAGTTGAATGCCTTCTCTAGGCTTGTGAGATTTTACTTTGTATAGAAGTTGATAACTGAAATGTTCTTTTAGAAAGATGTTTTGAGACAACTCACCCGTTTATAGTTAAGGCCAATTTATACTTCTGTGTAGAGTACAGACACATACCACATCGCGTACCCTTCGCCGTCGCCTGACGCGCACCTCCACAAAAATGTACTGTAACTACACGTCGCGACGGAGCGGACCGGTAGCATCGTATTTCCTCCAACGCATTTCCGCACGTACCATCTCCTCTAACGTCTCCTCTCATTTCTGCATTTTAGTTTTTGTAATTTCACTAAAGTGAACTGTTTTTCCACCCCAATAAGCTCCAACTCCAACATGATCCACTCTCTTTCAGTCGCTATTGCTTGTAGTAACCTAGCCGTGAGGAATCTAAACACAGTGGAACATTAAAACCCTCCGGCGCCAACTAGCGTTTCGGAGCAGTACTGCAGAGCAACCAAGACCTGAACGCAGAAGTATAAATGCTCACAATGGCGTCGCCTACGCTGTACACTACGGTGTACCCTCGACTCAGAAGTATAAATTGGCCTTTAGAGTCTGGCCAAATCCAACCTGGGTAAAGCTGTGTGTCGGTGTGTGTGTTAGTCTTCTTGGTTGCAGGTTAAGGAACCACTGCCATTACTGGAGATGCTTTGTCTATCTGTATATGTGTGGAAAATTACTGTGTTCATCTATTTCTTAGCCAATGAGAATCATACAACGTGTAAGCAATGACCTTGGGAATGGTATAACTGCGGTGATCTTTGTAACTGTAAGAGAGGCGGCCTACGAACTCCTGAGGGAGTCTTGAAGCTGACTTCTGCTGGTGAAACTGCAAACTAAATTCAGTAAAACTTTGCTTTAATTTTTTATAATTCTGACTCCAGGTCTTCATTCTCCATATCTGGTTCTGTGACAGACGCGTCTTACGTCAGCAGCGTCACCGAACGCGGATCCACAACAGAACCGGAACACAACACAACGCTGAATAAAGTGGTAGTGTTTGTTATTTTTAGACCAAAAAGGATTTTCGATGCGTCAAAACACTCCCACTGATGTCACATGACTACTTTGATGATGTCTTTATTACCTTTCTGGACAAGGACAGTATACCGTACACACATTGACAATGGAGGGACAGAAAGCTCTCGGACTAAATCTAAAACATCTGAAACTGTGTTCTGGAGATGATCGGGCTTGGGTCGACATGAGGGAGAGTCGGTAATGACATGATCTTCATTTATGGGTGATTTAACCCTTTAAACACGTCAGAGAGGCGGAAACACTTACTCTGGTGAGCTTCGGTCTCTTGCCGCTGGTCTCGCCCGCCTGTCCGTTCTCCTGCACATCTTCATCCTTCACCCTCCTCTTCTTCTTCGCTGATTGGATCTGCTCAGCAGGGCCGGACTTCATCTTCTTCTTCTTCATGTTCCCACCCGTTGAGGGTGCTGGGACCTGGGCGTCTCCATTAGCGCTGGGCTCCGGCTGGACTACGGCTGGGTTCTTCCTCTTCTTCTTCATGTTCACAGGCGTTGAGTGTGCTGGGACCTGGAGCTCGTCTCCATTGGCGCTGGGCTCCGGCTGGACTACACCTGGGTCCCTCTGCTGCTTCTTCTTCTTCTTGATCAGTGTTTTCCGCACGGATTTAGGCGTCTCCTGTGAGTCCCGCTGGTCCTCCACGCCGTCTGCGTCTCCGGCCTTCAGCTGGCCAGGCTCGTGTTCCCCGTCTCGATCCGATAGCTCAGCGTTAGACTGGGTTAGATCCGGGTCCGTGGACTCGACCGGCGTCTCCTCAGCACTCTTCAAACTTTTGTTCTTTCTCTTTTTCTTCTTGGCTTTCTTGTTTTTCTGGTTGGCGTCCTCCGTCCGGCCTGTTGGAGATCAATCGCCATCGACACTTCAGGAACTGTTCAATACTGAGCGACACTACAGTAGATCACTTCACAATTAACATGTACTCTCCTGCATGTCATTCAAGATCTTCATGTCTGTCTTTCTTCAGTGGAAAATGAAGGTTTTTGAGGAACACACTCCAGGGTTTCTCCATATAGTGTCTTCAATGGGGTCCAACGGGTCGAAGGTCAGATGTGAGTTTCGTAGAGTAGACTGTAAATATTCTGTCAAAATCGTCCGACATCGTTGTTTTACCTCTTATCTACCTTTTTTGTAAAGAGTCTTTGCATGTTGGCTTCATAAACACTGGGTTGGTTCTTACGCCTACGTCCCGCTTGACCTTTCACCCTGATTACGTACTGTGTCACATCACAGCTAGAGCAAGACCAGCATTAGTGGTTAAAGTATATAAGTGTGTGTTTTGTTGTAAATGTCGCTGGTTTGTCTAGATCAGACTCTTATTCCTCGGCTGGATCGTGTCGAGACTTTGAAGCTGAAACTCACATCTGGACCCCATTGAAGTCACAATATGGAGAAATCCTGGAGTGTGTTACTCAAAACCTTCTTTTCCACTGAAGAAAGAAAGACATGACAATATTGGATGCCGTGGGGGAGAGTAAATAATCAGGAAATGTTAATTCTGAAGTGAACGACTTAACCCTCAGGTGCTCTTCGTTTCGGAGTCACACTTGTTATCTTCCCGGTCAAAAGTGACCGGACACCTAAAAATGAATCTTTCTCCATCCCAGTAAAACCAATGCAATTTATTTTTATTCTATAATATTTATCCTCTTTAATTTAGTATTTTGAGACAATTTAATTGAATTTATTCTTATTTATGCAATATTTATGGTTTATTTTTGCCATGGAAAAAAATATATATTTTTCTATATATATATACATATTATTTTTTCAATAAAAATATTAATGCAGTATTTTAGTTTAATATAGAGTCTAGGCCTTCAGAAAAAAAATATTTTTTGAAGAAAAATCTGGTTACAGTATAGAGAAAAGGCGTAGAATCATGGTGTAACCACTAGATGGCATGTTCAGCTCTCTATGGAGAAGCATGTGAATTCCCCAGATTTTTATGAACACATTTTTTTTTTTGGTGGTGGATTTGAATATATAGTTGAAAAAAAATCTCAAAAACTATTTCTTATAAAAAAAAAAAAATTGACAAAAAACAAAAATTCACAATTTTTTAATTTTTTTTTTTTTTCATAATTTCTCATTCATTTCCTATGGGGGGCATTTTTGACCAAAGACCACAAGTGTGACTATTTTTTAAGACCACTTAGCAAGCTCAGATCATGACCTCAATTTTTTGTGTTTTCACATACATAATGCCATAAAAGTCACCAAATATCGTAACATTCCGATGAAGCTGTGATTTTTAAAAATTCAAAACAGAAAATTTTTCGTCAGAAATGACTGAAGAGCACCTGAGGGTTAAATATGTACTTGCTATAGGTTTAGTTGGTAATTCGGCATACGCTTACGGTTACAAGTGACAAGAAAACACTGGATCTCATGCATTTTTCTAGTACAAACTTATTATTTCACTTACACACATTTATCTTTGACGCAATTGTGTGAATGCTTCCTCCAGAGTGATCACGTGACGTTTATACTCACCCACACTGCTCCGCTGATATAAACCGATCTCCATTATAAGACGAGCACTAAACGAAAAGCAAACCTTCTGACCTTTTTTTGTTAGTTTCTTTCTGTTTTTCCTCCGTCTGTTTTCGCTGTAGTCCTCTTCATCCGTGGACACGTCCTCCACCTTATCCTGAGGGAACAGGCCTGACCACACACAGGAAACAGTGACGTCACGCGGATGGCGAACACAACCCATTTCAGCAGAAGAGCCTGATATCAAGACAGCTTACCTTCGCTCAAGTCCCGGAAACTGCATCCCACGGGGAGAGAGATGGAGAGAGAGATTAACACTAATCAGTCCCTCCAGGATTTCACGATTTTTTTGTGTGATTTTTGCGATCAAAATGACTGATTTTGTGGTGGTAATTTCCAAAAATTTTTGAAAAAATTTGCGATTTATATATAACATTTACCATAATAGTATTGAGTCCTTCCAGAAAAACGCAGAGTTTTTTTGTGATTGTTGCGGGCAAAAATTGATTGATTACGCGGCCCGTTTTCTTTAAAAATGCGATGGAATATGCGGGATATTTATGCAATGAAATTGCAGGAATTTGCAAAAATTGAGGGAACTGGCAAAATTGCGGTTTGATGAAAAAGAGAAAAAAAGTGATTCCCCCAACATCCTGTTCTCACTAGGCTAATGTAAGAGTCATTTCTTATTACTTCCTTTGATAAGCAAGCATACTACATCATAGAAAGTGCTGGGAATATTTAATTTCTCATCTTGTTTTATTTCAGACTGTAACGAGTGTAAATAAGGTGTGGCCCCTTTAAGAGCTCTCTGCAGTGTTATATGTGCGCCTCGAACACCCCATGTGTGCGGGTCATTTCTGTTTGATGCTACTTCTTTTATCTTATGTTGTTTATTAAGTAACGATGTGACGGTAGAACGTGTGACAGACAGTTATACGAGTTTGATTTGTGAGATCAATCGCCTCCGTGAGTCTGTCTGGCGTCGCGTAATCACGTCACTTCATAACGTTCCCATGGAAACAGGGGGAAATGGCTGCTCTTGTGTGAAGCAAACGCAACATTTTTCAACTTTCTGCTAAGATACATGTGACTTTTTTTGCAACGAAAATGCGAGGATTATGAAATTATGCAAAGCCCGCATATTTTGCACGGAAATAGGCAATTTATGCGACGAAAGTGCGGCGTATTTGAAAAAATGCGGCCCCCGCATAAATATGCGGACTTTGGCTGATTTTGCATTGAATTCAGCGATCGCATAATCGCGTTTTTCTGGAGGGACTGACTAATATAACGGACAGCTCTTATGTTCACTGTTTTTAATGTCTCAATGTGAAACTACTTACACTTTCACAAACTTGTAGATCTTGGATCGGTTAAAGCTTGGTATGTTTGAGTTGCTGGCCACCTCGAAGAGTTTGTCAGCTATTGCACCATAGTCGAACTGCACACGAGAAAACATCATTTACACACACTTTCAACACGTTCTCATTCCTTATGCAATCAAATCTATCCCTCATAGAAGAATGTTAGATTCAAAACACCATCAGGAAAGTCTAGAAACACACCTGGAGAACGGGTCCGCACGCGTAGTCACTCTTACTATCCATGTTGTCTGGAATTGAAAACAAGTCTTCATCACAGTCCTCCTCAGCATCTGACCCTGTCAACAAAAACAACACACTTATCTTTTGTTCGTTCATCTTTTCTTTCCCCAAATCCACTGAGACCAGGATTATAGGATGACGGGAAACTCATCTATACCACACTTTATTCAACGGGAAGAACAGCTCGTCTGTCATACGCCACCAAGTCCTTTGGTTTTCAACCCGATCTAGTTTACACATGTTCTCTCGATTAATTATAAAAGGAATAAACCGACCCTTTCAGTCCGATCTAAGTTTCATTGGGATCGAGCAGGGCGTTTACAGGAAGGCTTTCAGCGTGATCGAGCGTCAGTCCCATTACTAACGGATTATGTAAACGTAGCCAGAGTAACAACTGACGGGACATTGATTTGGAAAGCACACCGCGGCAACAGACGAAGCGATCTGATGTAGCCCGTCACCATTGCAACTGTGAAATCAAACAAGTGAAGTATGGAGTGCCTCAAGGCTCAGTCTTGGGTCCTCTGTGGTTCTCCTTCTACATGCGTCCCTTAAACCCAACACACACTGAACAGCCTTTTGAATCTTTTAAGAAGATCTCTAGACGGATTGCTTGATGTCTTCTCAAAGAGATAGACGAGACCGACTGTGTTACAAACATGCCAGACGGGTCATTCTGGAGCCCACGGAGGCAGTCCAAACCAGTGGATCAAATCAACATACTTTGATAAACAGATTTTATTAATGGAGTTTGTAAACGTTTTATTATGACTCAGACCAATGCGATTTTTTGTCTCTCTCAACAGTATAATTTTGACCTGGTGCGCCTTTAGCTGGAAACTGTGGTAATGAGTTTCTGCAGTGGAGTGATGACGTGTGGCCGATGAACCCACCGTTCTCCTCCGTCCTCTTCTTAGAGCGGGGTTTGGTCTGGGATCCGCCACTAGCGTCCAGCTCCTCCCCGTCAGCCTGACCAACCTCTCGGAGGAGATCCTCGATGGCGAAGGGAACCTGATCTACAATGGTGTCGAACACATTGCTGCCGATGGCCTTCAGCAGGACCCGACTGGAGACACGAGAGGAGGAACGATGATCAAGCAGGGCATGAAACCGAGTGTGTGTGTGTGTGTGTGTGTGTGTGTGTGTATCAGCTGGAAGGGCGTACTCTTTGGTCTTGGCCATGGACTTGCAGAACGGCTCGATGAAGGTCAGGTTCTGCTCGGCTGTCAGCTGGAGGAGGAGGTCAGAGGTCAAACACTCATACACACACATGAGGACAATGACACACACTTAAATCTCTGTGTTGTTAGACATAAGACTTGATCATCTCTTACTCTTATCATAAACATCATCAGAAAGAATGATGAAAGATACAGAACTGAAATATGAGCAGGGAACTACACTAACCTTTTCCACTGGTGGCACTTGCGCTACTAACTTTTTCAGTTACTGGCGCAAAACATGATTTGGTCGCACAAATTATTTATAGTAAGCCGCACTCTGGATAGCAATGAATAATAATGAAACTGCATTAGGGGTGGAACGGTACAGCAGTCATGGTTGGGTCGGGTTCATACTTTGGTTCAGACATTCGGTTCGGTACGATTTCGGTACAATGGAGTGAAAAGCAAAACAAAAACGGCATTTTTATAAATGTCTTAAGCCTCGTATTTTTTAAGTTGTTTAAGTTTTATTAATAAAGGCATAGAACCAGTTTATTTGTAGTGCACTGACAATATTTATATAATTAGTTTATTAATTAAATTAATAAAAAGACAAAATGACCTTGATATATGTTTGGTAATTGTACTTGAATGAATGTAAAATTAATTTGCAATATTTCAGATCAATATATTTGTTTTCCTTAATTTTAACTAACCCATAACTTTATTCTCATCCGAATTATAAATACATTTTCGTATAAAATAATTACCATTAAAACACATTTGATTTTCTTTTTTAATCAATGTAGAATCATACGCAGGACTGTTGGAAAGCTGTGATGACAATAAAATGATAGCTTATAAATATATCTCTGGTTGTTTCTGTTCCACAACATTTTGTATGTCATGTTTGGGGTGTGGGATGAAGAGAGGGATATTTTCAGTAATTATTTAATAAAACATTTAATTTATCTTCAGTGTGTAGTATTAGCCAATCAGGTGTCTTGACGCGAATCACGCGATTATAATTATGAAAAAACTAACGTTAGTCTAAAAAACTGCTAGTGATAATATAACGTTAGTCTATGTCAATATCAGCGCGAGCAATATAATTAGTTAGCTCATGGCAGAGTTTATCAGCCGAACACCAGACCGCAAATCTTTGGTGTAAGGAAGAGACACGGTGTCTTACATCTCTGCGTCTTTTTCCTGCCGCCATGCAGGCTCAGATGGTAGCTTATATGATTATGATTAGCATGCCTATTATAAAGACACAAACCTTTTACTATCATGTCATTTGAGTAATATGCGCGCGATAGAGAGAGAGAGCAAGACAGCGCTTGTGTTGTGTGAAGACGTGATAGTGCGCGCGCGGCTCTCTCTCTCTCTCTCTCTCTCTCAGCTCGCCCTGTCAAACGCATCAGTCATTCTACTCTACAACACTCACCACAATCAAAAAAGGCTTTGGCGGGACAAAAAGCGGACAATCCGACAGGTTTTAGAAGATTAAATACAACCCGAAAGAAACTAAAAAAAAAAAAAACAGACCCGTCAAAATAGTCAGTGATACATTTGCGACCCATTCAAAATTAGGGTCGCAATGGGATTTCAAAAGGTCGCATATGCGACTATTTTGGTCGCAGTGTAGATCCCTGATGAGATCGCCACATTTCCCTCCATTCAATGACCATAAACTTGATCAGCTACAATAACAACTTGACCTCTAAATGATGCGGTAAATACTGAATAAATCTGTCTAATTCTTATAAAAGGCAACATTTTTATATATTTGTACTATGATTGGGATAGAAACAGTTGCATGATTATAGAGCAGGACGTCCTCATTATAAGTTGATGCAGCCGATACGACAGACTCGCACTGAACTGCATTTCCCTTTTTAGAAGTGATTACAATCATATTTCAAGCCATTGAGATCCATCTGAAAGAAATAATCCATGATCTATAATATGAAGAGATCAGATGCAAAAGCCTCTAAATGCCATTTGAAATTTTCTTCTAAAATGACCATTTTTATCAAGCTGTTAAAATTTATTTAAGTTCAGTAATTTGATTTGATTTGATATCTTTATTTTGAACTTGTAAATAATAAATAAAAATACAGTTATTAATCAATGAAACAAGGAATATTAGGAGTAATTTCACTTAAATGACAATTAATAGGTAATCTTCATTGCCATTTAAGTGAAATTACTGAACTTAAATATACAAGTTTGATAAAAATGATCATTAAAGAAGAACATTTCAAATGGCATTTAGAGGCTTTTGCATCTGAACTCTTCATATCAGCCATATTTCCTTTTCGGCCAATAACGATAACATTAAATATGAACGATACAGACATGGCGGCCGATATATCCAGTTACTTTGGTGTAACGAGAACAAACCTCACTGATCCTCACAGTAAAGCGGGATTAGGATGATCATATTTGATGTGATCAATGTCGATAAAGGCCCAAATGAGATCTATTGATCATATAAAGCAATCGTCTGAAGACTAAAAGATTAAACCACTCCATTAATTAAGGAAATTCAATAGATAATGGACAAAAACGAGATTATTAAAATCTCTTTGTGTTCTGAAGACGATGGAAGGTTACAACACGAGTGGAGTTAAATGAGGTACTTCTGATGAAGAGGAGAGACGTTACCTGTGCGGATCCGACGCGGGCCAGCTCGCTGGTGTAGAGGTCCAGCACGTGCAGCACGAGCCCAGCCGGAGCCGAGCCGGAGCCCTGCAGGAGCTGATCCGAGAACAGCTGCAGGAACTCGGACAGCACGCTGCACACACACACACACACACACACGTCAATGTATCACAGTCCTTATCTGGCAGTATCCACAATCCTCCTGAAAGACGGAGCCCAGCGTGGAGAATCTGTGTTTGATGGGTCGCAGCTTGTTCCCGTGTCTGACCTGTAGTCGTGTTTTCCATTATGAGCTGCATGTAGTCGCTGTGACGTGAAGCTTAGCTAACTAACGATACAGTCCTGATGTTGTGTTTACTGCAGCTTCTGTACGCCCTGTGGGAAATTACCCATGATTCTGTGATCCATCACTGTGTTTGTATTACCACAGTTTTCCGACAAATATGATTAAATGGTGGATAATAGGGCTGGGTATTGAGACAAATTTCACAATTCGATTCGATTCAATATCGATTATTTTGGATATCAGTTACAATAAATGCCAATTTTTCTCAAGGGAATTAAATCTCTGAACTAATGCTGTAAACTATGGGAGACTAGTTGTAGCCTATAGGCTTCATTAGCCTAATATGAAGGTAATAATGAATGAATCACTTAAATTACACTTTTATTTATTTTTATAATAAGAAGATTATATGAAATATAAACATTTAAATGGTGGTTGTCATAAAAACTTGCCAGATTTATTCAAATATGCATTAAATATTGAAGAACATTAAGATTATAATGCATATGTAATATGGTGTATATATTTAGCAAAATGCTCCTCTCTAGAGTTATTTATTCTAGCTGACTAACGAGTTTATGTGGGTTTTCTGAGGTAAATATGACGATACATTGATTACAAGCTGTTTAACTGACGTCTTTCCACGGTTGAAACGCTGATTGAGCGAATCAATGTGACATGATCCGGATTTGGATAAGTTGTCCTCTATCTTTAACACACTTTCAGATGCTCATTCATGTTTATTTGGCGCTGTGACTGGTATTATTAAGCCGGAAGAGAGATCAGCGCTGCTGCTTCTCCAGAGCGATCTCACGCCACAGCGACAAAACGCTATTTATGTTTTTGAACTTCTAAAGAAAATGGACGTAACTTGAAAATTGAGACTTTGTTTCATATCAATAGTAACAAAGGACAAAGATTATTGCGATTTTTTTGGGATGCGCGCAGCCGCGATACAATGATCCATTCATTCAAATGAAACAGGATGACTAATCGATTCTTGAGATTTAAGAATCGATATCAGTTCGTAAAAATGAGAATCGATTAATATCAAGTAATCGATATTTATTACCCAGCCCTAGTGGAGAACATCATATCTATAAGAAAATTACAACACCACCACCTGTGAAACGCTCTGGTTCATAAACATCGTCAGGGTCTGAATCGGACTCCAAGCGGTTTGCAATCGACGCCATTGTTAATATCTACATACGAGTAAAGACCGCGGTTATGGTGAAGGGGCGGGGCATATGCCGAACGCATGCTAAACGCTGCACCAGCTAACCAATCACAGCACACTTCCTATTTCTGGGGGAGGGGCTTCACCGAAAAATGTTCAAAAATTGTGTGTTTAAAAATCAAGCATGAAAACATTCTAGTACACCTAGAACCTTCGTAAACGGGTATAGTAGTGTTGTCACAGCTGCACAGTTCTGGATAAATCATGATTGTATTGTTTAATATAGAGATAGAGATATTATTATTATTATTATTATAACAGACATATTTCCAACAATTCAAAAAACATGATTTACTAGAGATCCTGCCAGACGTTAAATGCTGCAGTTTATTTAAAACGAATATCGAATTAGTTTTTTTAATGGAATTGAGTGAATGATTCAATGACTCGCTTCACTTGTGTCGTATGACATCACTCACAATGCAGTGATGTCACACCCCGGGGCGGCTTCGTGTCCAACACACCCATCACTGGATCGACCGGCGTTCGTGAGCGAATCTCTTGGGCGAAAGATTCGACAACAGACACTGATTTAACACTTGTCGCCCCCTACTGGTGTAACGATGTAACGAGCCAATCAAGCGTCAGGTGTCTTTTCTAAACGGTGATTCGCTTCGATCCCTCCTGTAGACGTCAGTGTTCATATCTGACCTATCATCCAGCACTTCTGGGATCACATGAATTACCGTAAGACAGAAATAATGACAGTGTGTGTTGAACAGGCCGTTTCATGTTCATGACGACGACTCTCTCTCTGTGGATCAGAACACAGATCCGAGTCGCTGTCAACCGAGTGTGTGTGTCTGACCGAGTGTGTGTGTCTGAGTGGAGAATCTTGCATCGTTTGATGAAGTGTACAGCCCTGCTTCTGATTATTCATCCAAATTTAGCCCAAATGTGTGTGTTATATATATATAGTGTTATAGTACCTGCAGTCCCACTGGCGTCTCTTCAGCATCTCGAACACATCCCGGAACATGAAGCGGACCAGCTAACGACACACAACACACACCATCAGTTCACACACACACACAGGTGCAGTGTGAGCAGGAGTGCTGGATAGAGACGGCTCTGACCTGAAAGTACTTGTCCATGCGCAGCCGGTCGATGCCGGTCCACTCTCTCTTCATGGTCTGCAGGAACGCCTTGAAGAACAGCAGCTCTGCGGAGACACACACACACACACACACACACACCTCCATCAGTCCAGGCTACAGTGGTTACTCTGCATCCAGTGTCAGTCTGACTGAAGCTCTCTCACATGACCCTCTGTTCTCAGGCTGTGTGTGTGTGTGTGTGTGTGTGTGTGTGTGTTTGAGGACTGAAGTGAATGATCTCGTGGGTTTGTTAGACTTACGGCTGTCGAGCGTCTGAAAGCTGTGGAGAAGTCTGGAGATCTTGGTGGACAGTTCCTCCTGAACACAAGAACAGGTCATGAGTGTGTGTGTGTCAGTTACTCCTGAACACAAGAACAGGTCATGTGTGTGTGTGTGTGATCCTCACCTGTAGAAGCGGCATGTCCTGCATCCACACACAGTAGAACAACCCCTTCCAGATCTTCATCAGCTCATCCTCACCAAAACCCCCTGAAACACACACCAGACCACTGAACACACTCGCTGGAGCGCAGACACACATCTACTGCCGTGTGTGTGTGTGTGTGATGAGTCTGATTTAAGATGCTCGTGTGTGAGCATATAATGAGTGTGATATAAGAAGTTAGTGTGTGTATAATGATATAAGGGTGTGTGTGTGTGTGTGTGTACCCTGGGCTCTCCCCGAGCGCACGGTGATGTACTTCCTCAGCTTCAGCAAGGCTTTGCTCCTGTCGCGCTTCTCGTTGGACGCGAGCTTCTGTGCGAAGATGATTTCTGCTGGTTGAATCGGTGCCATTTCTGTGTGTGTTGATCTTCACGTGCTGCCACTGATCTCCCTCACACACACGCGTCAACTCACACACACATGCGCTGCTCCTCGTGCCCGCGGCGCGCGCTGATGACGTCTCGCAGGCGCAATGGCGCATGTCACGCGAGCGCCACTGGAGGGCAGCATTTCTTCCCAATTTCAAATAAAACATTATTGTCATTTAGAGCATTTATTGCAGAAAATGACAACTGGTCAAAATAACAAATAAATACAGGGTTCTCAAGTTTTCCCAAAAGCTTGGAGTGAGATCACATGAGGTTAGGGGAGGAGCCCCAAGGAAGGAATTTTGGTCTGTATATTGTATTTCTTATTAAATAAACAATTGGTAAATCTCATAAATGACAGCGCAATTCATCACATCAAATATAGCCTACTCTTTAATGTTATATTGTAAAAAATATACAAAACTTACAAAAATATAACAAATTGCTCCAAACATTTTGGAAAAACGTTTCTTTTTTTTTTTCTTCTTTTTTTGAATTTTGAATATGTCTAGTCAAAATGGTATTATGATTTATTTTGTGGTGGGACATTGTGAACAAATGGACATATTAGAATATTAAGGTGTTTGTGTGTTTGTGTGTGTGTACACAAATATCTTTTTGCTTTTTCCCTGACATCTTTGAAAAATACAAATTGGCAATGAATGTATGTTTTTACAGGATATGAAATATTACCCAGAGCACTCTGCTCCCAGTAAACACAGAACGTTCCCCTAACGTCCCCATATGGTTCCCATTTGGTTATTTTTTTGGGAACCAAATAAGAACGTTCTACGAACGTTCTCTGTAGGTTTTTTTGTTTAATAACCTAAAGAGAACGTTCCGGGAACGTTCCCTGAAGGTTATTTTTAGATTTAATTTTATAACCTAAAGAGAACGTTCCGGGAACGTTCCCTGCAGGTTATTTTAAGGTTTAATTTTGTAACCTGAAGAGAACCTTCCCAGAACGTTCCCTGCAGGTTATTTTTAGGTTTAATTTTTATAACCTAAAGAGAACGTTCCGGGAACGTTCCCTGCAGGTTATTTTTGGGTTTAATTTTATAATCTAAAGAGAACGTTCCGGGAACGTTCCCTGCAGGTTATTTTTGGGTTTAATTTTATAATCTAAAGAGAACGTTCCGGGAACGTTCCCTGCAGGTTATTTTTGGGTTTAATTTTATAACCTAAAGAGAACGTTCCGGGAACGTTCCCTGCTGGTTATTTTTAGGTTTAATTTTGTAACCTAAAGAGAACCTTTCCAGAACGTTCCCTGCAGGTTATTTATAGGTTTAATTTAATAACCAAAGCTCTCTGTGAAAGTCCAGGTTTACAGTTGAATATTCAACGACAATAATGTTATTTGATATAATCAATAGGCTACTGCTTTCATATTCTATTTACAAAGCACTTTCAGTAATTGACACGATTCTGTTAAAAATGTACTTTATCGACATGGTGTAGTCTTCGGAAAAAGTCCGTAGAGGTAAGGCTAAAGAGGTAGCAGCTAACGTTAGCAAGGCTAACTAACATCCACGTTAACTCGGTTGAACTTTTATTTATTAAAGTTTCTTTTAATCACCTATTATGTGTAAATGAGAGGTTTTGTAAGGGTTTTACAGTGAGCTAATTTATTTAACGTAAACGTAACGTATCGTTGATGTTTCAGGACTTTCCTATATGGGGAACGTTAAACACATTTTGATTAAATGTTCTGTGATTTCAGTAGTAACGAAATAACCCATAACAGAGAGAAAGCTCCACTACTTCAACATTTCTGAAGAAAGCTGCTGCCGGAGAAGTAACGTTAGGACACAGGTGAGCCGAAGAAGCTCAATAAATAAAAAAACATTTATGATTATTATCAGTGTTGAAAACAGTTGTGCTGCTTCATATTTTTGTGTTTTTCAGGACTGTGGTGAAGATGGATGAAGATGGATGAGGCTTTCAAGTGCAGGATCTACAATTGTTTTCGCTTCACCTTTTCGTTTTGCCTGTCTTGAATGTGATGCACAGCCTAGGCCTATATAATTGTGTTTTTTTGTCTGTTTTTAATCAACAATTAAACAATGAATCGACAAAAACATGGACTGTACAGGTTTATTATTTATATAGATTTGCTGTTGTATTTTATTGAAGTAAAAAAAAAAAAGATGAATTGTTGTTGAACATAAAGAAAACTATTGTCTAACTAAAAACAAAGCATAAAAAAAATAATGTTCTGGGAACCAAAAACGAACTTTCTGGTAACCAAAAACTAACGTTATGATAACCAAAAACGAATGTTCTGAGAACATTCTGGGAACCAAAATCTAACGTTCTGAGAACATTAAGAAAACTTTCCCAGCTAACCAAAAACAAACCATAAAAAATAACGTTCTGAGAACCAAAAACTAACGTTCTGAGAACGTTCTGGGAACCAAAAACCACTCTTCTGGGAACCAAAAACTAATGTTCTGAGAACGTTCTGGGAACCAAAATCTAACGTTCTGGGAACGTTAAGAAAACTTTCCCAGCTAACCAAAAACAAACCATAAAAAATAACGTTCTGAAAACCAAAAACTAACGTTCTGAGAACGTTCTGGGAACCAAAAACCACTGTTCTGGGAACCAAAAACTAACTTTCTGAGAACCAAAAACTAACGTTCTGAGAACGTTCTGGGAACCAAAAACCACTCTGGGAACCAAAAACTAACTTTCTGAGAACCAAAAAACAACGTTCTGAGAACGTTCTGGGAACCAAAATCTAACGTTCTGGGAACGTTAAGAAAACTTTCCCAGCTAACCAAAAACAAACCACAAAAAGTAACGTTCTGAGAACCAAAAACTAACGTTCTGAGAACGTTCTGGGAACCAAAAATTGTTAGCTGGGCTTTAATAGACCATTTCACAAGATGTAAACAACACTGGTCCACTTCCTGTTTCAGTTTTTTAACACTACACAAAAGCTGGGATAAAATACAACCAACAGAACATTTAAAACTGAATCAAAAAGTTAAACAAACATCTTTAAGATGTTTTCTTTACATGTGAAATAAAGAAAACAGTTACAAACTGAAACAGGAAGTGCTTCTGGACCAGTGTTGTTTACATCTTGTGAAATGGTCTATACATACCTATGGCCTTGCCAACGTGTCTAAATTGGTTGAATGTGGCATCTACATATCTGAGGCTATTATCCATTTCTGATAATCCCAGGTTTCTATGTTTCTATGAAGGTGTGTTTATGTTAAACTTGCAACCTAAAAAAAAAAACATGTCTCTCCCCCACAGGCCACGACATATTGTGACGTTCCCACAAGTCAACCAAACAATTTTTTTTTTTCTTAAGAAGAACATTTCAGGCAGTGAAAAGCACCTGAAATGCCAGTTTTTTTTAACTGCCTGCAGATTAGTGTGATAATCATAACAGTATGCACACTTATAGCCAGTGTTATGCAATGCTCAATATAGCTAACAATTCATTTGAAATAAGCCAAAACACATCTTTGGAGATTTAAGACAAGTTGTAAGTTAACCTCATTTTAAGTTATTAACAATGATTTTTATGGAGATTATTTTTTACAGCATTGTTAATTTGAGTTCATGTCTTCCTTTTAGAGCAGTGCCCAGTGAAATTCTTCTGAATCACGTGATTTAAGATATGTGTCATGCTGTAGTCTGTATATTTAGCCGAAGTGTTGAACAGTTGAAGAAGGAAACTGAGGGCGAGAAATGTGAGTAACCGACTTTTCATTTGATTAGACTATACATGATATTTTTATCATATGAGATGATATATGTATAACAGAAGGCTAAATAGGTCACAGTATAGTACAGATTTTGTTCAATATAAAATATTGGTAACACTTTATTTTACGACCCGCAAACAACTGTGTAAGTACACTGAAATTACGGTGTACATTTCTGTAATTATAGTGTACTTCAGTGTAGGTATAAGGGAACAATATGTTAAGTTTTGGGTAATAAAGTGGTAACAAGCAGATATACAAGCAAATTATTTAAGTAGTTAAAAAATAACAGGTACCTATTCTGTTAATATATTCCAGGCAAAAATTGTAGGCCTACGTCTGTTGTTTATAAAATGTATCACATTTCTGGCAAAATATGTTCTTGTGCAATGTTACAGGGTAAATTTGACTAGTGTTGTCAAAAAACTCGGTACTTCGGTACCAAGTCGGTACTAAAAAAAAAATGTTACGGTACCAGCTTTTCTAGGTACCGAGTACCAGGTTAATCCAGTTCTGTTCTAGACGCGCTGTCTGAAACGTGCACAGTTGCGTCCTCTTTATAACGCTGATATGGCTCTCTCTCTCTGAATCCACTTGTTGACACGCAAGGAGGAATGAGCCACATATGGAAATATTTTGGATTAGGCTAATGTCACGTTGCCATAAGAGGCTGATTACATGCAAATTCGCAATTTCAAATAGGCGCGATTCAAGCGCGCTCATAATAAAAACTCGTTGGCGTTGCATAGCAACGACAGACGCCGCGTGAGAGCAAGCGCTTTGGAAAGAATAAGCACGCGCAAAAATATAATTAAAAAACACGCGCGACATGTGAACGGCCTCTAAAGTGCTTTCGGGGTAGTTTTACGAGTACATGAGCACAGTAGTATCCACCCGACACCAGAGTAGGCTACTGGTATTAGTATTGTCATTTAATGTCAATGCCAGTTGGTGTATTCTTGCCTTTATAACTCAGCAGGTTTAAAAAGCTTTTTAAAAGCCTTTTTTAAAATTAAATATGAATGCAGTTTTAGATGAAATAAAAGGACAGTCAAGTCAAATAAAACATGTTTTATGGTAATGCTATAAGATACCATTCATCAACATTACTTAGTTATCAACACATTGAGTGAACAATATATTTTTACAACATTAATTAATCTTTGAAAATGTTATTTATTACAAACACCTGATTGTTCATGTTTGTTCACTTAATTCATTGTGCATTAAATAAATAATGGATTAAAACTTTACAAACAACTTTAAAAATGTGTTAGTGTATACTATTGTTTATTTTAGGTCATTTTATCTAATCCTTTTCTAAAGTGTTTATAATACAAATGTACAGTTTCCATACTTGTAACCGTGATAAACACTTAAATATATGTAAATTTAAACTAAGCTTTGGTACCGAAATTGGTACCGAGAACCGTGAATTTTTACTGGTATTGGTACCGAATACTGAAATTTTGGTACCGTGACAACACTAATTTTGACATCTGTGGGTTAAAAAGTAAACACACACACACACACACACACACACACACACACACACACACACATATACATATATATATAAGTCAAAATAATTTGTTTTTGCTATGATTTTAATACCATGTGGTAATTTGCACTTACCTTTTACCATTGAATTGCAATGACACTTAAATGTCAGGGCAAATATACTGTGTAAATAAAACGATTTTTTTTTATAACAGTACCTTTCTCTGCAATTACAGTGCAAATAATGTTGTTTCGTATTGCTACATAGTAAGCGTTTGTTACCCCGTTGTTCTGTGTAGTTACATGATAAGTGTAACTCCTGTGGGCTCTAAATTAAAGTGGTGCTTGTTAACCCTTTATTACCCAAAACTTAACATATTGTTCCCTTATACTTACACGGAAGTACACTATAATTACAGAAATGTACACCGTAATTTCAGTGTACTTACACAGTTGTTTGCGGGTCGTAAAATAAAGTGTTACCAAAATATTGAGTAGGCTACTATTCTATTCCGTCACAATTCACTGATTCAAAAGTCTGATTTCTGAGATTAACTCTCATTACAATATTATATTTTAGTTTTTGATTTGGATTTAAGCCCTATAGCCCACTGTATTCTCTACTCTACTCATGAGCAGAAAAGTCTAATAATTTTCAGTTTTAGTTGCCTTTCCTTGCCATGTGGGTTCAATTCCACATTCGTTTTAAGGTATTACATGGCTAAACGGTCACAGTTAGATGCATATTAAATTATATTATCTAGATTTTTATGAAGGTAGATTTGTGTCTTTATTATTCAATCAAAAAAAATGTTGCTTCAATCAAAAAAAAATATTTTCAATTAAAAAAACCTTCACTTCAATGAAAAAAAAAACTTTTCAATCAAAGAAAAAAAGTATTTGAATCCAAAAATATATTTGAGACTCAAAAAAATACATTTGAACACTGCTTTTCTTTGATTGAAAATGTTTTCTTTGATAGAAGTCCGGTTTTTTTTGTTTAAAGCAACCTTTTTAATTAAAGTAACATTGTTTTTTGATTGGACCATATAATGGGTAGGACATTTGTGTCTTTATCATTCAATCAAAAAAGAAGTTGCTTCAAACAAACAAACAAACAACAGAATCAATACAAAAGTCACTTCAATGAAAAGATAAACATTTTCAAATATAGAAAATAATTTTTGAATGCAAATAAAATATTCCAGACTCCAAAAATTGCATTTGAACACCTTTTGTTTTAATTGAAAATGTTCTCTTTGATTGAACTAATCTTTTTTGTGTTTGGGCCATACATGGGTAGGACATTTGTGTCTTAATCATTCAATTCCAAAAAAGTTGTTTCAATCAAAACAATTTGAACTTCTATTTTTTTTTTTTCACTTCAAATAAAAAACGAAAACAACGAAAAAACACATTCTCTTCAATACTTTTTTTATTTACGAGGTAAATTTTTTTTTTTTTTGCTTTTGGACATTTTTTTCTTTGATTGAAAACAACTTTTTTGGAATTGAATGATTAAGACACAAATGTCCTACCCATGTATGGCCCAAACACAAAAAAGATTACTTCAATCAAAGAGAACATTTTCAATTAAAACAAAAGGTGTTCAAATGCAATTTTTGGAGTCTCGAATATTTTATTTGCATTCAAAAATTATTTTCTATATTTGAAAATGTTTATCTTTTCATTGAAGTGACTTTTGTATTGATTCTGTTGTTTGTTTGTTTGAAGCAACTTCTTTTTTGATTGAATGATAAAGACACAAATGTCCTACCCATTATATGGTCCAATCAAAAAACAATGTTACTTTAATTAAAAAGGTTGCTTTAAACAAAAAAAAAAAAACGGACTTTTATCAAAGAAAACATTTTCAATCAAAGAAAAGCAGTGTTCAAATGTATTTTTTTGAGTCTCAAATATATTTTTGGATTCAAATACTTTTTTTCTTTGATTGAAAAGGTTTTTTTTTTTCATTGAAGTGAAGGTTTTTTTAATTGAAAATATTTTTTTTGATTGAAGCAACATTTTTTTTGATTGAATAATAAAGACACAAATCTACCTTCATATTTTAAGCAGGCTATTTTTAAATGTAATTTATTTATTTATTTTTTTGGTCAGCCCAAAGAAATTGCTGGGTCTTATAGCCACTCCTGAAAATCTCGTAAATCTCCTGCTTTCGTATGAGTTTTTTTCGTGTTCGTTAAGGCCATTGCACATTGAGTCCGAAATTTCCGCATGTAAAAAAAAAAATTGATCTCACGTTATGTCAATCACGCTTGCACACCGCCTCCGAAACTTTCGTCCGTTATAAAAAAATTCGGATCGGATTTGATTTTCTGCGTTTTTCGCATCCCCAGCCTGCATTTTGAGAGGTTTTGACAATTCAGGCCTGCGGGAGCTTGTTCCACACATCATTGCACATATGCGCAGTGCAGTCCTTTCAGTTTCGGTTTTCAAATCGATCAAGTGTTTAAATGTTCTCTTCTCTCGATTGGATTATGAAAGGAATAAACCTCCCCTTTCAGTCAGATTGAAATTTCGGATCGATTAAAAGGTGTGATTGAGCAGCCAATTCGATAACTAATGTTGGTAACACTTTAAAATAATGGTCGGTAGTTAACAAGTAGCTATGCAGGAAGTAATAGGTACTGCATTAACACCGAACGTATATTATTAACTAATATGGAAGCAATATTAACTAAGCATTAAGTAATAGGTAATTTAGTACAAAGGTATTTCCTTGGTATGTATTTGATTATTACTAAAGAAATATATCCTCATTGAGAACTACTTGTGAATTAAGAAATAATAACCAATTAATTACTAATCACAAAAGTAACATGTCTAAAAAGTGAACAATTATGGGGGTTTTACTCTTAACATGGTCAAAACATTTAAGAAGCACGTGCCTCAAATGGGTTCTTTGTGGAAACCAGTTTATGAAGTTTATACATCCCCCCAAATACATTAGGTTGAGATTGTGACCACTTGCCCGGATGGACGCATGTTCTCTGTTTATTTAAAACTTAAACATAAAATAATCCTAATAAAGACAGTTTTTAAAAATAAATCTTAAATAATTAGGAAGTGATGCTGACACTCTCATGATTGGATTAGTTCACTATTATGAGCTCTATTGAATGTCAGTCACATACAGTATATCTCAGACTCCAAAGACCTATAACTTTATGTTACAGTAGCTGCCTGAGGAGGACTTCACTTTAGGACATGAATATAAACATTGATGTTCACTTGTCAAAAACAATTTGTATCTTTAATGAAGAAATTGGCTGCGTTTGTTACGATAAGCGCAAAACCACATCTTCCAGATTACAGTGTTTGTTAGAATATTAGTGCCTCACAGAACCTGTACAGTATGTGGCAAATATAAAACTAAATTATTTGTATCATTTGTGAAAAACATGTTAACTCCTCAATAACTACTTAAGCGTTACCTTGTCATCCCGCAGGAACTACTAGTGATGTGACCAATTATTTTAAAGTGAAAAACATGTTAACTCCTAACTAACTACAAGCGTTAGCTTGCCATCCCGCAATGTTTATGTAAGTGGCTCAAATTTAGGGACTACGCCACCCCAGGTTAACGGGGAAAACAACCTAAATATAGCACACAAATACGTTCCACCTAGAAAAGGCAAGAGGCATGGGCTTCCGTACAAAAATTGTTTTATTGACGTTAAAAGTTGATCAACAGTGCTTTAAAAACAGTAATTCACAGGTCATGATTGGCTTGAATACAGTCAAGAAAATAATAAGCAAAAAAAAAAAAAAAATTCACAATAAACCTCCACAAGACCACAAGTAATAAGCTCACCAGATTCTCAATACACTTTTACAAAATTAATAATACACTTAAGACTTAACGCCGGAGACTGAGGCTTCAGCACAGGAGCAGGCTAGTGTGCCAGCAGCAGGTCCACCATAAGAAACACGGCAACCACGCTTACACCCACCCAATTCACTGCAAATAGCCAAAGATAGTGACACGGCAATAATGAAACTGCAATAACATTTTCAGTGAACGAAACCTGCTGTAAAACAGACAACCAGCCCGCTCCAGGAAGGCCTCAGCTCCTAAAGGAAAAGAGAAAAAGAAAATAGATAAGAAACTGAAAATAATAAACAAATAACAAAAAAAAAAACAATACTCAAAGTCAATTTATTGACTTTAACGTAGCAAGAACCAAAGAAAAACTCACTTACACAACACACCCCAAAAAGACAAACAAAATAGGAATACTATTAATGAATTAAAGACAGACAATTCAAATTAGAGAAGAACAATTGAAACAATTTCAAATGACCGCTGCAGGAACACGCCCAGCGATTACTACAGGCAGAAGCAATCAGAATCAAATAAATGCATGATAGCAGGACAAATTAATTTAGCGAGGAAAACATAAATAAACAACCCACATTCAAAATCGGTCTAATTAACTTAGTCCATGATAGTCAACACACACACACACACACACACACACACAAGAAAAATAACTTGAAAACTGGTCAACAAAAAAAAAACAAAAGTAAAGAAATGCCAACTAGCAGCCAAAAAAACCCAAAATAATCCTCGGGCCCGCGTACACGCTTGACAAACGTATCGATGTGGAGAAAGCAGCAGCGTGGCTTTAAAGAGAGAGAGTGTGACGGAGAGGGAGAGCGCGCCGTTTAATGCGACTGCTCACTTAATTAGCCCACTTTAGCGTCCACGAAGACCTTCAAAACAGTAAACAAGGAGGATTATAACTAATGAAGTGATCGACCAGTTACCCACCCGATAATGCCACAAAATACTATCCCAGTTTACCTACCAGCAGTGGCGGCTCCAGACAATTTTGATTGGGGGGGCAATGGGGGGTCCTGGTCATTTCAAGGGGGGGTCTCATGAAAACCAACAAAAAAATACATTTGACACAGCTAATAACTGCATATTACTGCTACTTAACAACAAAAACAACACAGTATATAACAATCAACTATAACTTTGTTTTTAATTAATTTCAGTTTGCAAACAATATGCTCGAACTTTAATTGCCATAGCCACACCACACCCATTACAGAAAACATATTTACAAAATGTGATGATTGGTTGTAATTTCAGAGGGAGTCAGTAGTGGTGGCTGGGGGTTGATAAATACGAACATGGATGAATAAAGCAACAGAGAAAATGTTCATTAAAAAGATGCAGTTTATTTTAAGCACAACAATGAACAAAACACAAAATAGTATCTATTCTCATACTCTCACCACCTTTTGATTGCCCTACTTCTGTCCAATTGGACCCTGGCATCGTCTCTGCTCATCTATAGTCCAGTCTCCTCCTGGCATTTTCTCTGCTCTCTTCAGTCTCCACATGTGTTATTTACTGCAACACATGAATAGGTTAGTATTTATGATTAAAAACAGCAATACAATATGAAGAGATTCACCTCAATTACTTCACTAACCAATATTGACAGCTCTTTTGTCCAGTCTCCTCATGTCCTCTTCTCTGCTGCTCTTAAAGGTAGTTATTCGGTATTTTACACTTAAAGCCCTGTTTTAAGATAGTTTCTGATGAAATAGAACGGTTAAGATTGAAATTTGGTCAAATTAGCTACTGCTGTCCCGAGAACTTGTGTTAGCACTGGAACAATCATTCATAAAACGCATACAACTTTCGTTTACAAAGACGTGAAACTCACCGAGTGGTCTGGGGTGTTCACTAAAATGCTCACGCAAAAATCGCTGCAAAACATGCTTTCCAAAGTTTCCAAAAGGTTTTATCATAGTTTTTGTACAACTACATTGACTTGACTTGGGACAAAACTACGATAAAACCATGGAAAGCATCTTTTACAGCGATTTTATTATGATTTTGTATTCTATTTCATCAGCAACGATCTAAATACCGAACTAACCCTTTTAAGTCTCCACTCTCCTCCTGTGTCTTCTTCTCTCCTCCCGTCTCCATCAAGCAGGCCTCGCCCTCCACGGCAACGGGTATATTTTCACTCCTATTGCTATAATTTCCGTCAGCTCTCATTTTTTTAGGTATGATATAAAGCGATCCATTTTTAGCTTCGTTGCAGCTCGCGCGGGCTCGCGGTAGCGCCTTGAACACAATGACGCAAGGTGTAGCAGCGACGTTCATGGGGCGTGGCATTGATTCTTGTGTTTATATTTTTTATATGTCGAATAAATTATTTATGATTATTGTTCTGCCTAGTTTGAAGAGAAACATTTTTAAATCTTTATCCTGCATAAATATATTTTTTAATCAGGAAGTGGGTGGGGGGTCGAATGGGGGGTCACAGCGTTTTTTGGGAGGGTCTTAAGACCCCCCAAGACCCCCCCTGGCGCCGCCACTGCCTACCAGAGAGTACGATCCAGTTACACATCAACATATACCAGAGAATCATTTAACGGGCTCATTGACTGAAACAGCTGGTGCTCCGATCAATTAAGTTGCAATGCCACAATGATGGAAGCGCTAAAGGCACATACTGGAACAAATTGCCACAATCCAAGTCAGGGAGAGAAAAAAAACAAACAAACTTCCCCCTACGCCCCGAGATGGTACCACCAAGCCTACCTGGGAGTAAGCAGCAACCAACACGCACAAACCCTCAGCAACGCAGCAGGACACTCAGTCAGTGTTTACAACGGAAGGGGTGGGCTTTCAACCATGACGCACCCCAAGACGCCTGGGCAATTACTAATTGGCCACCTACCAAATTGTACTGACAACACGATTTCACTACATTCTACCCCCTACTTTTGTGTCGTCGCCCCGACGATAGATACAAAGAGAACAGATTAAAAAAACGATCGGAAATGTCGTCCATGCAATTTTCTAATAATATTATTTGAAGACAACAATACATTTGGAAAACAAAATACAGCCATTTCTGATTTTTTCTTTTAAACAAAAAACCAAGTTGCACCCTTTTTTAAATTTCATCTTTCATTCCAAAATAGAATAATGAATGAACGAAAATGTACACGGACCTTTTTCAATGCAATGCTTCAAATTATACAATACAATTTCAAATAATGTTTTCCAATGCAATTAATTAAGTTTAGCAATTCAAATAAAAATGATTCAAATTCAGTTTCCGGTGGCACATATTTTAGCCCATAAAAGTGTTGCATTAATTTTTTTTTTTTTTTAAATGTATACTGGTAAAACCTAAATAAACATGTATTTTAGGCTAATTTACAATAAAATAAAACCATTGAATGGAACTGTAGTCAATAGAAAACAAGAACGAAAACATTAAAACATACATAGGCTATGTTAAAGTGGCATTCATTACAAACAAGATTTATTTTGAAGCCTGAATGAATTTATTTGAATCAAAACTGATTTCACGCACAATAATGCAGTTAGCTGGGCAAACGATCGGGCTGTATAGCGCTGCCCAGCAAGTAATTTTGCATTTAAAAGGCAAATTCACTAAAGTAAAATTCTGTCATTAATTACTCACCCTGGTGTTATTCTAAAACCATATGACCATTTCTTTCACTTTGGGAACACAAAATTAGATTTTTTTTTTTTTTTTTTTTTTTTAAATGTCCTGGTGGCAATTTTAATTTAATGGCAGTAAATTCTGAAGGCATATATTTGGGTTTGGACTGGGAGAGACCCCTGTATGTGGCATAACAGATATATTTATCTTGTGATCTCATTGTCTACATTGACCTACTGTTTGATTTCATAAGCTTTGTTAAATATCTCACTGTCTTTTTTTGTTCTTTTAGAGACCATTCTGTAGGAGTCTTCAACAGTGTACACTCTGAAAAAAACCAAACATGGCTAATAGCAAAGGTGAGAGAGTTTCCATTTTAAATTCCTTATAAAATCTATTAACTACAACTTTTGCTTAACAATACTTATTAAATGCTGTTTTCTTTGTAAAGAGAGGGTGAAGAGGGCAATGGTCATAATATCCTCTGTCCACTTGTGTCAATGAGAAATTCTAAAGGGTCCAAAAACTGAGTTTGCTCGAGGGGTTTGTGATTTGGTCTTAGTGATTTAGGAGTCCTCTTGGCACATGCATTTTCTGTAAAGCTGCTTTGAAATTATTTGTATTGTGAAAAGTGCTATACAGAGGGAGGACATGGACCATGGAGCGTGAGTGGACCGGGGCAGTTGCATGGTGAATCTGAGCTGTGGAGCGTGTACTGTCGGGAGCAGGGGACGCCTCTGTGGCCCTAAAGTACCTACTAGAAAACAAGACAGAAAAATTATAATTCACTAACGTTTGGTTTTTTTTAAGTCAAAACAAAAATGGAGACATATACCTGCTTAAAAGACCGTATTTATGGATATTAGTCTTTTTTTAATTTTTACATTATGTTGTTACTCTTTAGAGTCATGAGTTTTGACATTGTTGTGACATACACTCTTATAAAATGATCACCTGTAACCACCCGAAGCCAAACTTGTTTACCAAAACAACGTTCCTCCATGAGTAGCTTGCAGTTTTACTCCAAGTCTGCACCATAGTGATTGTAAAGTGGAGGCGAGTTATCAAGGTCCCACCCATACTCATAGACTCATAGAACAAATGTTATAACTGCTAGCTAGAGGTCTTCACAGGTCCAAAAATTAATGCCCGAACTGAAAGAGACCCGTAATGTGCTACACCCAACCGACCCGGTCCCGTCGTTCATTTCAAAAGTTGGACCCGGACCCGTGAAGACCCGAGAAATGCCATAAATGTACTTCCCGGACCCGACCTGGACCCGTCTATTATTTGAAAACTGGACCCGAACCCGGCAGGAAGACACAAACCCGACTGGACCCGATTGTCACATATTATTTCACACGAGTTGCGAAAAATAAAACGTTTTGTCTTACCTAATTTTAGTAGCCGTCACTTCCTTGTAACGTTACCTGACTGACTGTGATGCATTACAATCCACTGACAAGAAAGTTCTATCCATGTTATTTCTCTCGTTATTCCAAGCTTAATCCACTCATTATTTCAGCTTTAAAAGTCCACTTGACTTTGATATATATATACATATATATATATATATATATATATATATATATATATATATATATATATATATATATATATATATATATATATATATATATATATATATATATTCCTTTTGAATAACGATTGCTTGTTGCTTGTTCAGCTTGATCATATCTGTGCTCTCTGCTCTTCATTGAGTCTGAATCTGACCACCAAAACTTTAAGATTAAACAAGACGGCTCATTTATATTATTATAAAAATAGGAGAAAATGTAAAGCGCGGTTTGGCGGAAACTCTGCTCTGGTTGCCATAGAAACATGACACGCGCTTGAGATTGCACTTTGCACTCCGATCGCACGGGTATTACACACAATGTTAAACAGACCCGGGACCGAAGTAATAGATTCGGACCCACCCCGGACCTGGCTGATCATTTAAAATATAGACCCGAACCCGTACGGGTCCCGGGTGCACTGTGAAGACCTCTACTGCTAGCTAAATGTCACCTCCCCCTTCCCCTCCCCCTCCCTCCGGCTAATCTTAGGCTTGTTGTCTTAAATATGCTAGCCAATAACACATTTATTAGCTTTTAAAGCTACAATATGTAATTTCTTTCACCGCTAGGGGTCGCTAATCCCTTACAACTTTTTTAGTTCTCCTTTTGTCCCAAAGTCTGCTTGCCATGGTCCAAAATGTTTGAACGAAACAACAACAGCATGAGCATGCCGCTAGCCTGTGCAGGTGGCCACGTCTGTAGCCATGGTTACTATTGTAGTACGAGTGGAAACCAGGGATTTTACGTCATTGACTCTGTGATCGCAGCCGGAACTAGCATATGCTAACGTGCACATAGTCCATTGACAGGCGACAAGTGAACATGGACGAGCCATTATTTTACGTCATTGACTCTGTGTACGAGAAAAATGCTAACTTCCGCCTTGAGGGCGGATGTTGGGTACTTCGGTTCCGGTTGCCGTTGTTTACATCCTACATCAGTGGACCGGCTATCTAAAGCTTAGCTATCTAAATATATTTGTCTAAAACTATGTTCGTTTGTTCATTGTCAAGTCAACCAACACAGTTTTCACTCATATTTGGGTGGAGCCAGGCGCTGCTGCATTGTGAAAAGTAAACGATATTTCACATTTTGTCACCGCACCCAAGCAGTCGCTTTACAGAGTGGAGCGTTGCATATCCATGACAACTAGAAGGAAGTTTTTAGGCTAATTATTTATTATATTATACCCTTTAACCAGGAGAAGCCCCTGGGTTTAGAACCTATTTTGCCAGGGAGACCTGTTTAGAAATATGTGTGAACAGCCTAATATGTGTTAAACAGCCTAACTTGATAACGAACGAACCGACGTCGGATACCGTTACTCCCTGTATGACATGTATAGTGGTTGTCAACACTAATCTATATGACATTCTATATAGATAGTGGTTGTCAACAACATAGCCTCTGAACATCATAAACAAAACAATGGCCAACACAAACTGTTCTGGAAAATGCACTTTCTAACGCATGATTTCGCATTTTATAATGTATAGAGAGATATAACAGTTACCAAATCGCATAGTTTGAGCACGTAGCATGGCAACATTAATGTCTGAGTGATTCCACGTGTACCGCGTGCTACACGCCGTCAAATGTCCGAGCGAAACAAAACAAAATGTAGATCTACATCTGGGGAGCGATATTTATTTTTTCCTAGGATGGTAGGAGTGACGGGTAGGTTGGGGTTGAGGTAGGTCATGTGCTATATATATATATATATATATATATATATATACACACTGTGTGTATATATATATATATATATATATATATATATATACATACAATAATAACGTTAAGTCAACGGTATTCATAAACACGCTGAAAAGAGATTATGCGTGTTGATAGCATGCCAAAAATACGTGATACGTGTCATACATACGCAATTTCATGAGATCAGTCTGAGCATGGATGTTGTTGTGACTTAACGTTCCCTTCAAAATTATGCAAATACTGAGAAATGTAATATTTAAACCCCTTCTCTCTTGCTCTGGGGAGCTGGAGGAAAATCATTAGCCAGTCGATGAACATAATCGACTGTAATATTCGGCAAATGTTCAAGACATCTGGAGAAACATACATCCTCTACGTCGTCCATCAGGCTACCGGAAACTAGACACCCCATATCGGTTTCACAGCCGGAAGTAGCATATGCTAACGTGCACATAGTCCATTGACAGGCGACAAGTGAACATGGACGAGCCATTATTTAAAATTGGAATTTCTCTAATACTAAATATCTTTGGGAAGTTTTGGGAAATTGTAAGTACACAACTACAGGAAATACAACACACTGTACAAGTTATTTTATTTTTATTTTTTTTATCACAAAATTCTTACATATTGTACCTTTAATGTACAAATTTAACCAAAATTTACAAATTTAACTCAAATTTAACCAAACAAATTTCAGTAATCCTTCTTATAGGTTGGTTTGTACAGTTTACTGCAGAACAAGTCATTTTGTCAGTGTGAAACAACACAGTTATGTTAAAGGAAATAAACCTTCAATCTCCTCCTAAAGCATGACATGACAGAACATGACAGAAACCATCTTAGGGAATAATGTGTGTGGGTTTTTTTTTGTATTGTTTTTGTATCTCAGTACTTGTTGCCAGAGGTTCATCATGGAGTCCAGAGTTCATCCAGGAGCTTCTTCCCTCTGCTCAGCGAACCGCTCTCCTCTATCATCTGTCTTACCTGTGTCTGGGAGGCTTCCCAAAGCTGGAGCGTCTGGTCCGGGAACAAGCTCTCGAAACACAACTGCTGTTTGGATCCTCTGAGGCTGTTCTGATGAAGGTGAGACTTTCCTGCAGCTCAAACCGTAGAGTGTTGCTGCTTGCAACGCCAAGGTCATGGGTTCGATTCCCAAGAAAAGAAAGAACTGATAAGTCAAGTCAAGTCAAGTCACATTTATTTATATAGCGCTTTTCACAATACAGATTGTATCAAAGCAGCTTCACACTGATAACATGAAAGTAGCACAACACAGATCAACAACATTGCTAAACACTAAATAACCCCAACTGAGCAAGCTCAAAGCAAGCCAAAAGCAAGGCGACAGTGGCAAGGAACCAAACTCCATCAGATTGGATGGAGAAAAAACCTTGGGAGAACCCAGGCTCAGTCGGGGGCCAGTTCTCCTCTGGCTTACATTCATATTGTTTAAATATAAATATTACATATAAATATTGTTTATGAATCAAACGGCGCCATAACATATTGCAGGCGTTGAGTCGTCTCTTCACAGGCGTTGGGGCATCCGAAATCCCCGTGAGAGGCTGGACACAAAACTGGACCTGACGAACGCCATTTTTCTCGGGACAAGCGTCCCGAGATAACAGCAGAAAGGCAGATGGGAAATAATTAGCATAGCTGATGTTCATAATAATTTCCGTTATAACTCACAAACTCTCCGTAACCTGAACTCTCCGCAACCCAACCGTACGCGCCGACCCGTTTGTCTAAAAGGCTGTCGAGCCCCACTGGTGCGTTAAGCAGTTTCAGTGGCAAACGGTTCCGTATGGCATAACAGAGGACTAGAAGGTAAGCATTATGTGAATGCTTGACTAAAGAGATGCGTCTTTAATCTAGTTTTAAACTGTGTCAGCGAGTCAGAGGCTCGGACCGTATCGGGAAGGCTATTCCAGAGTTTTGGAGCTAAATGCGAGAACGCCCTCCCTCCTTTAGTGGACTTAGATATCCTAGGAATGACCAGAAGCCTTGAATTCACATACAGGTGCAGAGGGAAACATTTCTGTTGTCAACGTGTAGTTGTGATGAAATGTTTTACGATTGTCTTTTAGGTCACAGTGGCCTATTCTGGGAGGGTTTGGAGACATATGCAAACATTACACATAGACTGGAGCAATAGGCTGTGGTGGTGTTTTGTTGTTGTTCAAATTAAACAAAGTAGCCTTTAAGCCTACATTTTTGAGAGTCTATTAAGATTTCCGCTCCACTATATCAACATTTTTTTTTTACTTTACTATTTGTGTCTGACATCTTTATTGGTTACGTTTCAAACTGTTATTTCTTATTAAAGTCTCATTAAAAGTTGTCAGTTTATTTTGTTGTTGTTGTTTATTTTGCATAATACTCTAATCCCTGGTTTCACAGGCTTAAGATGGTCCTGGACTAAAATAAATGTTTGATACGTTTTAAAACTGAAAGTAACTTGCAATTTTACCATTTTTTTTTAACCGTTATTTATCCAGGTAAACTGTTTGAGAACCACTTCTCATTTACAAACATGACCTGGCTTTTTGTCGCAAGATACACACTAAAAATGTTTATGTTACGTAAATGTCCTAATTTAACTAATGCCTAATTCTGCCCTGTCTGTGAAACCAGGCCTTAACCTCCCATATTAGGATTAGGACTATTCTTTGTCATTATCAAAATCTATCTTATGTATTATTTATTATCTGTTCTGTCAGTCTTTCCTCACACTCCTGAACTGCAGCATGGAATGGTTTCATGTTACAGTATATGAACATTTTGTTATTTGCATTGATTGACATAGTTTGCATAATCACTCACAACACATCAATATAGTGAATATATCAGCTATGCACTATGACTATGGTAAACTGGGAGTGGGGTCAGGGTCACCATAACTAGTATTACCTCCCTTTTCCCTTATTAATGACATGAGTAATTTTCAAGTTAAACTGGTTTATTTTGTACCATTGTAGTACCTTTGTAACATTTGTTAAAGTCAGAATTCAGTTTCTTATAATGTCCCACAGGATGTTACAACAATGGGGAAATACTCAAACCAGACTTTATTTCAAGTATCAGTGCTATTTTTGTTAAAACTGTAACAGTAATATGACCCTTAACCAGCATATTCTGCTAGGAAAGCCAAAATGTGCTATGGTTCATATAACAACAGTGTTTGTTGAACAAAAGGGAGGGTGTCTCTCTTTAAACAGCCTATTCAAGAACAAGAACAGATACTGCTGTTCAGCAGTGATGCCTATTAAGACACTGCATATGGGACCGGGCTACACAGAAACGCAGCTGGCTTTTTTAAATTTATGCCCCTATACGCATACAAAAAAATGTAATAAAGAAAAAGAAAAATACTCGGCCAGATACCATACTAACCCCTGAACACCCTGCCCAAGATTCATATAAACAAAAAAAAAAAAAAGCAAGGTGGTAAAATACATATAACAAATGTTTTCAACATGATTTCTGAACTTTTGAGCTTAACTGTCAGCCAGACCACATTTAAGTCGCTGCATTTGTCAGTTTCGCCAGTACCTCACTCAGGCCTCTTTTGCCTGCGAACATATTTGCCTTGCATAAAAGGCAGCTGTCATTATCTTTTAGATAGGTCTGGATACAGGGGCCACACCCTGCAACCTGCCCACAGCATGCCGTTATAACAAGCACAGAATTTGGGATGTTTGTGCACATCCTACATGCCAATGCATCTCGCAGAGAGGAAGCAATGGATAGTGATTTTGACACTTGAGAAACTTTCTCCTTCACCTCTGCTAAGCCATCAATCTGTTGCACTACCTGTAGGACATTAGCCGTAATGTGGTTGACTGAAATGGTTAGCTCGTAAAATTTTTCATCGATGCTTTCAGCTAGCTTTGATGCTGAGTTTTTTATCTCAAGCTCAATGTCAAGCAGGCCATCTAGAACTTCATTTTCTTCGGGGTCCATCCTGAAAAACAAAAAGTGAAAAAGACATGTCCATTACTTCACATCAGTCTATCTGAAACATTAGCATTATCAAGATGCAAGTAAAAAGCATCGTCCTTATTTCTAGTATTACACATTTTAAAATAGTACTTTAAAATGATACCACCATGAATATATGTTTTATGTTATTGCATGTGGCCAATGCAAGCTATTAGGTTTATGGTCTATGTTTTCCTTCAGTTGTTTTTGGTGTTAAACAAGTTTTTTTTTTTCCGTTTGGTGTTTGAAATAAAGCTGCTTTTAATTTTCATTGTTGACTGATTGCATAAACCCATTATACTATAATGATTATAGACTTAATAGGCATACATTTTTAACATATATACTATAAGGAAGAAAGGTGGTAACACTTGATTAGGGAGATCACAGCAGTCTACTGTTGCAGACTTAAAAGTAACCATTAGATATGGGTTTTTCTATTCAGTGTATAGTTGCATGACAACATACATTTAAGCATGTCACTTAACTTTGCCTGCTTTAAAGGCTTTGAGAAGCTTTCCTTTTATCACTGATAATATTAAATTAGTAAGTAATTGTAATTCTCATTCACTCGTTGATCACTGTATTAGCGAGTTAAAACCAATAACATCATCCTTTGTCTGGTAAGTCACATAAGGCTCTGGCTCTCTGTTTTACACATGTTAACTATTTGCGTAACTATAGAACGAATTCTTAATGCGGATGTGAACGGCATCAGCATTTATCACAGGTTCGCGTTTAAATTCTACAGTATGTAGAGAGAATGGTGTCATCTTAGCGGCCCCTTATTTGTAGCATTTATTTATCGGTCACACAGGATTATTCTGGGACATTAGGTACACACCTGACCCTACAAATCTAAAACATCATGCAAAGTCTGCCTCGTGCTGAATACTGAAATGTTGGTACAGTGACAACACTAGCTGTGATGTTGCAGTCAACATATAGTGAGTGGAGTATATATTTATATATATATATATATACACACACACTATATAACCATATAGTGATATGGTTATGTCTCTACTGCATAAAAGGTCATTTTGATTCCTGAAATTCTTTTCTTTTTTTTTTTAATTGCCTTTTCTTTTTGGAGGCACTTTCAAGTCTTCCCGTCTTGAGTTTGGACAGGTCTGCTGTTCTGATGGCGTACACCTTCCGGCTTGATGTTTTCCAAAATTCCAAATCTAAAAAAGGCAACAAAATTATTAAATTATGTCCACAATATATTTCATGGTTTCTACTTACATTTTCGAAACAGTTGCATTTTTCAAGTTTCTACAAAATTCACAAAACTGCATGATGCACAATATGTGAGGAACACCTTATCGCTAGCACTATGTTCTTTGTTAGGGTTTTTTCAGATATGGTGTTGCAGTGCACTTCATAATACCCTGACAAACCCACTTACAACAGCATAACACTAAAATACAGTACTTGAGTCTATGAACTTTGCACATGCCATATTTGACATTGTGTACCAGAATATACAATAGTTTGCTTAAAATGGTAATTTAAACAAACTGAAACGCATTTAACCAACAAATCCCTTTTGTCTGCAAAAACTTCTCATGTACAACTAGGGTGACCACCACCATTATCCTCAGATAGACTCTTTTGGCAGTTAATAAACATGTATGGTAGTTCAGGAGATAAACATGTGGACATCTGCAGTCAAATACCTTTGGTCTCTGATGTATCCGCAGTTGCCAGCCCTTTGGCATCGCAGATACTGTAGCTGTCAGCAGAATTTAAATATTCCTGCACAGTTTGTCCCACAGTCTGCACACCCTGGCCTTCGGATATTGTGACATGTACTGTAGCTGTGATAAAGAAAAAAAGTTAATAATCCAGTTGTGCAATTCCCAACCATAGTCCTGGAATACCCTCAATACTGCACATTTTTTTACGTTTCTCTGACAAACGTTTATCTGACGTTTATCACGCACGACGCATTGGTCCACGCTCTATTCACTCCCTGTACGGACGATACATTGGTCCACACACACACACGTAAACTTCTCCCATACCTCGGCAGCGGCTGTTCAAAACGACCACGAACTCACAGACTGCTTTAAGGATCAGCTCCAAGACCACGG